TCCATACTTTATTTTTCTACGAAAATAACATGCATGATTAAATCGACAGGGACAGAGAGACATGATGCAAGTCGTAAATATTAAAAAGCAAGAATATGCTTTGTATTTTTGACACACCTTGAAGATTTGCCATCAACGTTCTTAGGTAGTAGAAAACAGCTAAATTCTAGCCTCTCCAAAGACTCTGATCAACAAAGAATTAATTACGGATTTGTCCTTTTTTATAATGGCATTTATGGATTTTGCCCTTTTTTGAATAATTTATGGATTTTGCCCTTTTTTAGGCTCCAAAAATATGATATAACATGCCTTTCATTCGTTATGTTTGGGTTTAGTCGGTTCCATTTGTTCTTAGGGTTTAGTATTTGGTATAATGTACGTATTTTTGCAAAAAAAAATCATAATTACGTATATTTTTAAGTGTTAAAAAAGGGCAAAATCCATAAACTATTCAAAAAATGACAAAATCCATAAATGCCATTATAAAAAGGGCAAAATCCGTAATAATCCCTATCAACAAATGAAGACAATGTTTGTCTTTATTTTTTTCTCTTCAATACTCCTATTTCCTAAGTAGCTTTTGGCACCTAAAAACTTTTATTGTTCAGCATTTATATTGTAGACCAAAAAAAGAAAAATAAAAATAAAGAAAAAGATAAACTACCCAACTCAAGTGACATGTTGCCACTTGCCACCTATTCTCAGTTAAATCTCTTCATATCTTTGATGTTTCATTTATATATTGATCATTTTACTCTTTTTTTTCAAAATACATGATGTTTTGGGTAAAAACACAAAGTTTAATAAAGTAATTTATATTTATTTTATTTTATATTATTATATTAAAAACATAATTTAATATCTAACTAAAGATAATTTGGCTAATAAATAAAATTTACTGCGGAATATTAATATCAAAAATTGAATGAATTTAATTTTTGGCATTAAAACTTGTATATTTTTTAAAAAATATTTTATATCGTGAAACAAAACAAAATGTTTAAAATAGGGAACTTGTTAAAAATATTTTTTTTGGTGTGCCATTTTTCAAAAATGCCTCTTTTAGATGTCCATTTTAAAAAATGCCCCTTTTTAAATCTGAAATTTTTATAAAGTTTTATTAAGTTTATAAGGTACTTATGGATTGTAACTACTACTTGAATACTCGATCCAAGTATTTATAAGGTTTTATAAGGTGTTTTTAAAGGTTTTACAAGTTATTTTAAAAGATTTTTAAGGTTTTTCAAAGGTTTTACAAGATATTTTAAGGTTTTTTAAGGTATTTAAAATGCATTTATAAGGTATTTATAAAGTATTTATAAGATTTTAGATACATAGAAATGTAGTTTGTGTATGTTTTAATGATATTATATAAATATTTGGATAAATCTTATATTTTTAAGAGCATTTTTTATAAAAATTTAAAAAAAGGGTATTTTTGAAAAGTAGCATTGAAAAAGTGGCATTTTTGCAAAAGCTTCAAAATATATCATATAAATATATAATATAGAAAATATAAGATAAGGTTGCAAAAACCAATTTTGCATGTTTCTTACTTTTTTCAGTGTTCAAAAGAAACAGTATGATGGCTGTTTTTTTTTTTTGTTGAACATAAAAAAGGTACTACCTCCGTACAGAGAACTTAACCATTTGAACGTGGCTTTGTTTGGCTCCATGTCTCTTGGGAATGGGTTCCACCATGAAAAGTCAATGTATCGTTAATGATAAAAATAATTAAACAATAGTATAATTATTTCGTCATTCGGCTAGATGGACTTTTCAATTTTGTAATAGCCAGCACAGCTTATTGATAAGCCCTATTGATTATGACATTTGGTTTTCCAAACAAGTGGCTCAATTTTGTTGATGGGAAAGACGGTGGGCAACAACTTCTAATTTGTTTTTTTTGTATACTAGCAGAGAACCAATTTATTTAAATTTATAGTTATATCAATCAGACAGTATAACAATGACTTTTGCATGAACGAAAAATTAAACTTTGGACGAAAGCTGTATTCACATTTTAGCCTCAGTACTGTACGTATGCATTTGCGTATTAGTATATTATAATCACACTCACATTGTCCGACGTCAGTACATCTATTAGTATATAGTTACAAATATAGTAATCTTATTATGTGTCGACATGTTTGACATTTTGAGTAACAACCCCAAACTAGATCTTGATGACAACCTAATCTTAACGATGATCAGTATCGCTGGTCAGCAACTTATCACTTTTAGATTTAATATGCATATCATATTTTCAGGTCTAGACGACAAACATTAATCGTTTCCTTTCATCTCCTTGAAACTATGCAAATACGTACAAAAGTATAAAGTTTTTGTTTGCACTCAAAAGTCATATACTGTTATTTTGTTATACTTCATTCTTTCTTTCTTTCTTCAGCTTTTATTATACTCCATTCATTTAGATAAATTTTATATCATAATTCCCAATATATAAAATTATTGCTTAGTTATAGTTATAATTTCTCTTTGAAAGTAAGAAATAAATACCGTATTTTTTAGTATGGTTACCACAAAAATATTCAAATATCAATCTTTGTGAAACAAAGTGTGTAAGAATATTAATATATCAAAAAGTGTATAAAAAAATATAAAAAGCACACAACGCATCACCACCGTAGGATTAGTTTTGCTCCATATCAATGGCTTAATTGTACAAACACATAAATAAAAGCATATAGGAAAGAAGAAGTAAGCAACAAGACAAAAGGAATTGGTAACCAAGAAGTTCAAAGTCAACTTTTTTTGGGTTCAACGTCACAAATACACAAAGTAAACGACTCATTTGCTTTGCTCTATCTTGGCCTTCCTCTTCTCGTTGACAAAGAAGACGACAAGAGCCACCACGGAGAAGACGCTGAAGCAGATGGAGGCAATATCTAAGGACGTGTGGCGGCCACTGATAGCCTGAACGCTGAAGAGATTGGTTGTCTTGGCATCGTCGGTGCTCTGTCCATAGGCAACTTCATGGCCAATGGCATCAACTGCGTAGGCACGAACGAAGTAGGTTCCGGTGGGGATGTCACGCTCAACGGTCCAAACAGTTGATTGAGGGGTTTTGTCATAAGGCTTGGCTATGATCTTGTGTGGGCAGGTCTTGTCTTTGAAGAGCTCGTCATGGGTCTTGCGCCATGGTCGGTCAAGTTGGCTAGGTGGAGCGTAGCATAGCTTTACTTTGATGATCTTAAATTCAGCCTCTCTTTTAGACCCAATAGCGCTTAGCTTCCATGTAATGTTCAATGTATCTTTGCCGGCATCCAAAACTGTAGCTCAGACATTCAAAATAGTAATGAATGACAATTCTTATATATTGATGTTAGATCATATATCATTCATATCACTTAATTCTAAGTAACTATAATTAATAGGATAAGATCTAATGATGATGTAATAGATGGCAAAAAAGAACTATAACGTTTCCAATACTTCAATTTTTTTTATTTTTTTTGGTCTTAACATGATATCAGAGCAAAATCGGAAATTTATTTAAGCACCTAAAGGCGTGACGAATGAAGTAGCAAATGATGGATGTTTTAAAGAGAATTATACATACCAACACCGTCTCCTTGTCGACTGGGTTGAGTGGTGACATCAAGAGCACCTTTGTCCAGCTCTTTGAAGAGTCTTACTTTTTCCGCCCCATGGCTGGATTGGATCAGAGAGCATATGAGAAGTGAAGCGAAGAGGATCTTGTGAATCGCCATGAATATATTCTTGAATCTGAATATCAAGAAAATAAGGCTGAGGAAGAGAAGAGGAATATGCCTTGTGTTTTGCTGACTTTTATGATTGATAAGAAAAGTGGGGTGCACATTTATGTCTTTATATAGTGATTTATGGTAATCCTTTGGATCCAAATATCTTGCGGTTTAGCATAAACAATTATTAAGGACAAAGTCAACGGTTTGGTCTGAGATTACCCTTTCGAAGACTTGGGAAGATTGTGTTCCCTCTCTGGCACAAGTGTCTGTGTTGTCTCCGTCCAGCTGAGAGATGGCTCCTAAACATGCCAAAGGATGAGATATGAGTATTTGTTTTATCATTTATCAACTGAATAATTCAGTTTCAGATTCCAAACAATTCTATATTTCATGGTTACGTCACCTACAAGATACTCTACATATTCTAATTGTATCCGCTTTTTCTATGAATCCAATCTAGAAGATATACTAATCGAAAATAAATTTTCCAAAAAAGATTGTATGGAATGAGCATAGGAGTTTGCTTTAATACAAACTTTTTTTTGTGAATAATTTGTTTAGATAAATATCCTAAAATACGATCAATAAAGTTTTTATTCTATAAATACTATCACTATTTTTTTTTTCTTTCAAAAATACAATTACAAACTTTTTGTCCAAAAATAACACAAACACTAAAAATGGTTTTTAAGGATTTATAATTTAAAAGTTTGGGTTGGAGTTCAGGGTTTTGTTTTTAGGATTTAGGGTTGAACTTTTATAGGGTTTAGGATTTAGTTTTAAAGGTTTAAAGTTTAGTTAAAATTTTTGTAGTATTTTTAAGAAAATATCTTTTAGTGTAATTTTTGAAAAAAACCTAATAGTCTTATTTTTTGGGAAAAACCTAATTTTAATGGTATTTTTGAGAATTGCTTCTTTTTCTTACAAGTCAAAATTTTGTATATATCGGAAACGTAGTTGTTATAAATAATTAGACGTGATTTTCCGGCTTAACAAAATGAAAATGTTGATTATATTTAATTATGTTGATCGCAAAGTCAAACTATTTTAAATACTTTAACTTGATCACAAAGTTTAAACTATTTGAAATATTTTAATTTTATATATTAAAAAATAAATTTTAAGAGCTCGTGGATCATATCATATGGTAAAATTGTATAACTAGGATTGATGTATGTAGTAGGACTATGATCATTCGAAAAGTTGATCCATCAAAACATGCAAAATATTAAGTTTAACTAGATCTTGACCCGCACATATGTGCGGGATTTCATATTATAAAAAATTTGTTTTCATAAAATTTAATTCAATATAGATTCTTTTGTAATTTTGGTCCTATATGTAGATTCTGATCAGCACGTACGTGTGGAATTTATACCAAGTGCAGTTTGATTCGGTTTTAGTGTGAAGTATAAAATAGTTAAATGTTTTAAATGGTTCAATTTTGACCATTACTTTGAAGCAGATGGACTGGAAATAACCGTGAAGCGGATTAGTGATCTATAAGATTTTTATTAAACTTGTGAATGATTAAAAATCTGTGAACCGATGAGATAAACTAACCGGTTGATAGGTACCCGACTCGTATCCGTCTCGTACCCGTCTCGAAAAGAAGGTATATGTGACCTTAGGGTCAGGTAAAGGGTGTTATTATGTTACCCGTAGGTAAAAGTCAAGTATCAGATATATGTTTTTTTAATACTTGTCACGTTACCCGGTATATTTCTCGCTTTACTATGTGACCCGTAAATATCCAATTTATTAGTGTTTTATAATTTTTCTTTTATTTTATAAATATATCTTATAGTAAAACTTAAAGCCTAAGTTTATAATTTTATACTTTTTGGAAATATATATTGTATATGTTTATGAATTCTTTTTTTGTTAAACAAATACTTCTATTTTGGAATATGAAATTATTATGCGGTTACAGAATTTATTTTAACACATGCATTTTGGTCCTCAAATTTTAGTCCAGCGGGTAAGGGAATAGGTCTAGGATTCGGATGGGATACATCATACATGTATTATATTTTTTTGTATTTTCCATTTGAGTATTTAATTTTACAAAATTAGTGTAAATTATCCCTTTTTTTTAATATTTCTCACTTATGTCTTAAAAATACCCGAATTTCTCAGAACTTTTATCTTGAAATATACCTTTACCCGTACCAAAATTGATAGATATCTAAATTAGTGAGAGTTTAAGAATTGAATTCAGCTACCCTAAATTTATGATACCTTCATATTACCGTAATTATCGCCCGTTCGTGCGAAGATATGTTTGTTAAGATTTAATTTGATGTAGCACTTATAACCTGCATACATACCGGTTTCGATTCGATTTAGAGAGAAGGAGTATTGGAATTGTTTTTGTTATCAGTAAAGGCAATTATATAAAAAAAATGAGAAAAAGTAGGAAAGTCCATTTCGGGACGGAAAACCCTTCTCAACCCAAATCTGTCAGAAATTATTCCATCTTATAACCGTTTCTTTTTAAATAATTTACACGTTTGCAATTTTATATTTCAGTTCAACGGGTAAGAGAATAGGTCTAGGATTCGTATGAGATACGTGTATTTCTTGTATTTTTTGTTTGGATATTTAAGTTTTACAAAATTAGTTAAAATGATCCACATGTTCTTTATATATATTTCTCAATTATATCTTAAAAAAACACTCGAATTTCTCGAAACTTTCATCCCAAAATAGACTTTTACCCGGCCCGAAGTTGATAATATCCAAATTAGTGAGATATTAATAACTGAATTTAGCTACCCAAAATATCTGATACTTTCTTATTATCCGTAATTCATGTTTATAAACATTTAATTTGGTGTAACATATATAAACATTTAATTTGTAAACATTTAATTTGGTGTAACATATATAATCTGTATACATATTGGTTTGGTATTCAGTTTAGTATTCGGTCTAGGTTTAATCCTGTTTATGAATGTTAAAAATGATAATAGTTTTATGTGTATCTTGAAACTCGGATTGACCCGGCGGTCAGATCATGACTGAATGTAAACCGGATTTGAATTTCAAGTATTAAATCACTTTTCTGTTATATCATTTAATTATAGTTTATTTATAAGAAAGATTGTGGCGTACATAATACTTATTGAGTTGTAACTATGATTTCAATTTATAAATTCAGGTTCATGAGATTGTTACTGAATTTAGTTCATGACTAAACAATCCGTTTTTTTTTCTTCGTATAAATTGAGTTTAATTTATAGGTTATGTGATTTAGGTTCAATAAAATTTTAAGGTATAGGATGCTTGCATAAAATAATATGAAAATGTTTTTATTCTTAATCATTGTACAATAAATTAAAAACAAATACGATGTAAGACATCGAATGTAATAACCCTGACTATAAGGTCGAAAGTAAATAGCAACAGAATTGGTAGATATATATAATATCAATGTGCTAAATTTGCAAGTATTCACACATATAATCTAGTTGGATATATGAAGAGTCGAATGAGTCAAATGATTTTAAATTGTTGGAAACGAAAAAAAGAAAAAAAGAAGGCTAAATTCAAATTGAAACCCATTAAACACATAATTTAGAACCAAACATATTGTAGTTTGAGGTCTTAAAAAGCCCATTTATCATTTAGACCCAAAGAAGAAAGCTTAATCGGGGAGGGGAGAAGTCATCTTCAACATCAAGGACATCATCGAGACATGCAGATTCAGTGTGACCTCCGACTCCGAAATTTAGATCATCGTTCTTACCAAGATGATCATAATACAGTTTGACATTTGACAATACTTGCCTTGGTGATACCAAATATAGAGAGACTCGAAAAATCATAAGGTACAAATGATTTTTTTTCGTGAAATTGTAGGGAAGTTCTTAGATTGAGACTCGAAAATATTTATTGTCTACTTACATATTCATCTGCTAATTTTTTTTTCAAATTTTCTACATATTGTGATTTGTGTTACTTCACAGGATCTGGACCTAGATGCAATATAAAAGAATAAATCAAAAGATAAGACTTACGCTGTCAATGAGTTCGATCAATATTCCTTGATCCATGAATCATAGATGTCTCTTTGTTTCTCAGTAGGTGACATAATCATGTTTCATAGTGACTTCAATTTTATATATCTCCTTAAGTAAAAAAAAATAGATATACGTTTTCATGTAAATCATAAATATTTGAAACACACAAACCTTCTAAATAGTTTCACCTTGAATTTCTTTTTACTTCCAGATTCCCAATACACAGGCTCATTGAATCAGACTCTTTGGATGAGATTCTTTGGATGAAGATCTGAAACAAACCATCAAGTCAAGACATGTGAAAATAAACAAAATAAAAGGTATTCAAATTCATCTAAATAAATAAATTAGAAAAATCGACTTGTCAATAGAAGCAATATTTATAGTTATACAAAAAAAACAAATCTATAAACGATTTAAGTATAAAGAAAATATCTCTCATCATTAAAATGTGTATTTAGATATAGAAATTTGTTTCTTAATAGGTATGGTTCCTACAATTATGTAGAAAAATTGGTATATAAACAATAATATACCATTTCGAATTAAGGCTTTTCTCTCTCGTCAAGCTCTTTTCATGTGCTTTTACATCGGGTTGAAGACCAGATCTTTACATCTGAAAAATAAAATATTCAATTAAGAGGATTAGAACAATACTATTACGTACGTGTATACCAATACATCACACATAGACCATGTTGCATTCGTTGCACTGTAAAATAAACGCACTGAATCTTTCACAATTATGTTTCACAGATTTTTGGTATCAAATTCTCTCATAAAAAAACACATGTCTTTGGTTTTACCTTTAAACGGATCATTAAACAGTTTCCAATCGTTGTCTTAGCCATCAACAGAAACAGGCGTCTTCATGAATCACCACAATATCCCTTTTAGATGTTTTACGCGTCACATCGATGCCATAAGTGTAGATAAGTGGAGTTTTTATCTGCAGTGACAAAAGCAAAAAAATATTATTAACTTTATTTTGACAACAAAACCTTAAATCAAACCGAGTTAGCTTGAAATGCCATTATTTATAGAGAGATAGTTTGTACATAATTTAGGTTTAGCCGACTAATCTAAATATATTTAACTACTAAGATCTTAACAAATATGGTGATTTTATTATTAAATTTTAAAAACTATCCTTATATCTAACCCAATTTATGATTGAAAAAGAAAAATCTTTGATTCCCATAATATAAGGAATCCTAAGTTGCAAGATACATTACGATTTATATTTTTTAAAATCAAAATTATGTTCAAAAATAAATTTTTGTTTCCTTAACTACAAAATCTTTACGTGGTTAACAATTTTTGAAAGATTTTAGATTTTATAGTTAATGATAAATATATTTTAGGAAAATTCGAATATTTTGTTGACTTTTTTACTGGTGTTTGTTGTAGTTGCTTAATACAGGGGATTTGATTTTGCGTTTTTAAATTATAAGAAACAGAATATAACAAACGAAATCAATAATTGATGATAAAATATTTTAAGGAAACTGAAAATATTCTCAAAGATTACGAATTGTAGTAATGCACCAAATCGAATAATAACTTTTGTTTAATTATAATTCGAATAATATATTTTGGCTAACTATAGACGTGAAAAATAATAGTTTCTTGATAAATCCGAATAATATAATATTTTTTCAATGATATAACATTTTCAATTTTTAATAAATTTTTTGAATAATGGATTAGTATATAACATTTTCAATAACATTTTCGAACTATATGAGTATTATAATTCAAAATAACATTTTTTTATAAATTCGATTGATATAAAATGTTTTCAATGATGTATCATTTTCATTAACATTTTCAATAACATTTTTGATAACATGTTCGAATAATGGATTACTATATAACATTTTCAATAATATTTGCGATCACATTTTCGAATAATAGATTAGTATATAACATTTATACTATTTTTGTAACATTTTCGAATTGATTAGTATATAACATTTTCGAATTATATTAATTGTGTAATCGTTTGAAGAAATATTTTTTCGAATTATATGAATTATATAAACAAAATCTTTTAATATATTCAAACCCGTTTGACCCGTTGACCCGTTAATATATATTAGTGACATGGAATAAAATAATTATGATTAGAATTCTTTAATGGCATATATTGTAATTTCTTACAAAATCAACGTTATGATCCTTAGGATGTACTTCCCAAATATTAGTATTGGATACATGGATTTATATGTGCACAAAAAAAAAAAAAAACAACATGGATTTATATAAGACGGGTTAATCCGTTTTAAGTTAACACCCCCAAATATACAATTGCATTTATATATATAAAAAAAAACAATCGTAATTTCAATTAAAAAACTCTATAATCAGCCCGCATAATTAACTCAACCCACTTATTTACAACTGCAGTTGTATATACAAAATTAGATGAATAAATATGTAGTTAAAGAAAAGATAAGAAGACCCTCTATATGAGTTGATACGCTTTCTCACTATCTCTCGCGACTCTCTATCTTCCAGTGAGCTAAGTCCTCTGTTGCAGTCTACAACAATGGTGTTTTCTAAGTCACTTTTGTTTCTTTTACTCATACCTCTTCTCTGTTATTATACACTAATAACGAAGAAGCTTCTTCCTCAGGTAACGTTTCATTGGATTTTATATGAAGTTATGTGTCATTGTTTGGTTTCTGAGAAATTGATTTTCCTTTAGGGTTTAATATAATTGGCAAAAGAGAGACTTTTCAGCTTCTGTTCTCTGTTTCTGGAAATCACTTTGTAACGTTTTGTTTCTTTCCAAAGTTAACAAGACTATACTATTACTCAACCTGCATTGTGTTTCTTCTCTTGATGTGGTTGTCTCTTGACGTGAGATTTGTATTTATCTCTGTTTTTGATTCATTTTTTTAAAATATGTACAGAAGAAAATTATTTTACCTTTGTTGCTTTTTCTTAGACTGACAATCCAGGGAAGCACACTAGTGAAGCAGAAGGAAACGGTTATGAACTTCAGAAACAGGTTCGTTTTGTAGTTTGAGTTTTGTATTTCCTTCTTGTTTTCTTAGCTCAATTCAATTCTGCATTGGCAGATATTTGAACTACGAAAAGAACTGGAAATGCAACGCAAGAGAAGTCTCGAGGTGGAAGCTCGAGCTGAATTCGCAGATAAGAAAGTTGCGGAACTTAGCTCAAAGCTTGAAAATGTAAGAAACATGGTGTCCCCTTGGATCTGATGTATGTGTATAAACATACTCAAAAGCTTTCTGTACTTTTTTTGTCTACTTGTGTTCAGATCGATGGGAAGTGGCTCTTGTCTAAGCTTGGATTAAACCTAAATAAAACTCAGGTAATTCTATAAAAAGGTGCATAACATCGATAAAATCTTAGTGATTAATCTTAAAAGACCCTCTCTTTTTTTTTTTATATGGGGTCAGGCATATATAATGACTCTGTGGCTTCAAGATCTTAGCCAAACTCTTCAAAAGGTAAGGGTTGTCTTGGATTCAAAATTTACTGTGAAAGTTTTCGGTTTCCGTTATAAGAGAAGTCATTCGTGCTTTATTCTTATTAACCTTTGAATTATTCCCTTAGATTTCACAGAAATGGATTCCAAGCATCAAAGATGCGTATGTGACATTAACCATTTATCTCGAACCAAAAGTTCAATATTTAACCGATAAGTCCATGGAGGTGTTACATACGTGTAAGGAGGCATTGACCCCACATCTCATCCAATCATTTGACGTTTCATACTACTATCTTGAGGTTAATATGTTTCCATCTTTATTCATTTCTCTGCTTCTCTTTTGAGATTGCATAAAACATTGTAACCCTTGTCTTGTTTTTCTAGGTAAGCCGAGTTATGACCATAGGGAAACCACACTTTGAGAAAGTACAAGTTGCCTTAGAGGCATATACTGAAAATGTAAGACATGGCTTCGAGAAGTTGGTTAACTCGACAAAAATCTTTGGGAGGACGAAATAAGAAGAGTTTCGCACGGAGCACTCAGCAGTGGGTTGGGTTTTTCTGTCAAGACTAAAGAAACAAATTAACTTTCATTGAAATTTGTTTTCATTACAACTCAAGGCATGTGTCTACTATGATCTTTAATCAAAAAGTTCAACACCAAAGAGCTCTGTCTTCTCCTATATAAGAGAGAACTTCCTTTTGGCTACCCAATCAATCGAATCGTTTATGGCTCATACTCTTGGGTAATAGTGAAGGCATATGATTATTATTAAGCTTACTTTTAGCATACTCTTGGGAAGATTGTGTTTTCTAAACATGCCAAAGGATGAGATATGAGTATTTTGATTTATTATTTATCAACTAAATAATTCAGTTTCAGATTCCAAACAATCCCATGGTTACATCACCTACAAGGTACTCTACATTTTCTAATTATATCCGCTGTTACTAATCAATCACGAGGTGAAACTGTTCACTCCATGCCATCACCACAACTTTCAATCTCCACAAATGTTACCTACCATCAATCACATTCACACAACAACAACAATCGTCAGCAACAAAAACCACATATCCGCAATAATCAATGTTGGCAAACCAACCCGTCCAATCAGCCTAACCACTTAAACAATAGACAGTCACATATCTACTTTGGTCATTACCAAAGTTTTACTGTTCATGGGCACAATGCGAGGAGGTGTACGACACTTTATGCCATAACATAACCTGCCAATTCCAATCATGTTAGTCCTTTTGTGCCTTGGTAGACTCGTGCTGACATTGTTGTTGCATCTTACTATAATGCAAAAAAACCGGTTCCTAGACAGTGGAGCAACACATCATATCACCAATAAGCTCAGCAACCTCTCAATTCACCAACCATACAATAGTGGAGATGATTCTCTAACCATTTCAATACGAGTTCCACTCTCTTACCGTTTGATTCTTATAACCTAGCACTTAAAAAAGTGTTTTACGCGCCTGACATTAGCAAGAATTTGATATTTATATACCGATTTCGTACTAATTCATATCTCCGCCTTCGTTGAACTCAAATTCTCTCTCAACTTTCCGAAAGCCCACTAGCCAAGCCCAACTCTCAAATACTATGTTAAGTTTTTAAATTATCATATTTTAGTATTGTTTACAATTTCATAATAAAAATAGCCATAAATCTTTTGTAAGTTTCCAACTCTTTAGTATGCATAATTTTCATTAGCCTAATACACTGTTAAAATACGATATTTGAGGTCATTAATCATAAATTAAATTTATGTATACCATTTGTATAAATTAATTCAATTATAGAATCAAAATTTTCAATTCTAATATACTACAAAAAATATAACATCTAAATCATTAATTTTATGTATATTGAATTTTCTAAACTCATATTAAAAAAAACAAATATCTCTATAAATTAATAAATATTAATTTAAAATTAACTAGAAATTCATAAATATTAATTTAAACTAAAATTTAATAAATATTAATTTTAGAAATAAATTAATATCGCATAAATTAATAAAATATCATAGTCCCGAAATTATTAATTATAGAGGTTTTTCTGAATCTGAAAACCCGCCTACCATCTTCCAAGAAAGTCCCATTGGTCGAGCCCATTTACCAAATAACACAACACAATAATATCCAACTCTGGTTCTTCCCCTAAGGCAAGTTTCTTTTGTTCAACTTTTTTTGTCAAGCCTAGATATTGATCTTATATCGTAGATTGTGTATGAAACAAACTTCCAATGCCTTGAAATTCAGGCTCCTCAAACTCAGACTTACACTCTGACTCTGGTTCTGGCGGCTCTGGCTCAAGGTCTGGGTCGGGCTCATATTTAGGGTTTGGATTAGGGTCTGACTCGTCGGGTTGGTCATTTTCCATAATTTCTTTGCTAATAGAAGATTCTGAGCCGCATACACATCAAGGAAAGACTGTTCTCTTCTACTTTGCTACAACTATAGGAAAATTGTTTAGAGTATGTGCAATTAAAATATATCCATATATATATATATATATATATATATATATATATATATATATATATATTAAAAATAGTTTTTTAGAAAAATGGTGAGAATCGGTTCTCATTTCATGTTAATCTCTCCCTTTCCCGTGTAATTTTGAATAATTTTGAATAGTAATGCTCTTTTGTGTTAAATCAAATGGTATATAAGAGATAAATTATACTCTATTTACACTATTAAGTAAAAAATAGAATGATATATTGGAGAAAAAACTTAATTTATTTAATACTACTTTGCTTTAGAATAAAAAAAAAGAGATGAATACATTGGAGATACAGATGAAATAATATAATTTATAGTGAATTTTAATTTGGATCAAGTTAGTTATGATTTAATGGATTACTCTTTTGTCTAATTTTTATTTTCATTAATTGTGTAATAATAAATCTAATTAAGATATATTTTTTATTATGGTTTTTTGTACCAAAGAATTCGCCATTTTAATGTAATTATCTTTCATCTCCAAAAATACAGGTCAATTTCGAGAATTCAAAAAAAGTTACGCAATATAACCCGTCATAATCACCGTCAAATTGTAAAACTTTGATAAATAATATATTAAACTGAAATTCTAGGGACGAGTAATTTAAGTGCACTTTGGCAATTTTAGATTTTTTAATGTATGTGATTGTAAATAGTTTTAGAAAATATGTACAAAAATTTATATTATGTATTACTTTTGATTTTTTAATAGTTGATTTCATTCAATGTCAAAATAAAATAAAAAATAAATTGATTTGCATTCTCTTGAAAATGAAAGATAAGTTGAATTTCTAAGGATTAACTATAACTTATGGGCTTGGGACAAATAGTTTATAAATGAATAAATGAAGTCTATGAGTCTATAGGCCCATTATAATTTTATATTGCTAAATGAAGAAAAAGGAAACGAACAAGTATAATTGTTTTCTTTGGGCGTTTGAATTTTACTAAACGTTTTATTTTATTTCTTTTCTCTACTAGCTATCTCAAGCTTCCTCGTTCGCTTCGATTGATTGGTATTGCCTCCGCCATTTGATTTTGCCATTGGATTATGATTCGATTCCAATAATCTTCTCTATTTCATGTGTATGGTTTTTCTCGATAACGGTAAAATCGCTCTCAGAAAACGTCGGAGAAGTATGATGAGCTTATGGTGCATGCGCATAAAGATACAAAGTTGGAATCTATATTAGCTGAGATCAAAGCTTCTGGTCCTACTTCTAAGCTCAAGTACGTATTGTGTCATTTATTAGAAAACTATTTGGGTTTATTTCTGTGTGTGGTGAAGGAATTTGTTTCCGGTGTTATGTACTGAAATGAGGAAGATGTGTTGAAAAAGCTACGTAAACCAATGAAATCAATGGGTGATGTGGAGGTAAACCTCTGTCTGAATTTGACCCTTAGTTAGCTAGCAAACTCATTGTCCATTGATTTCCTTAACCAATTAGGGTCTGAAAACTTCTCTGGCATCTGGTCATAACAAAGATGAACAAGTCTCTGAGGGAAGGAAAGCACTGCAGATTGTCTGTGAGCATGCCAAGGTATGTCAATCTCTTAGCAACAAAAATCTATGACATATTTGTATTATTGTGGTCTATGTGATTTTAGTGGGAAGCTAGAAATATTTACTATAATGTACTTGCACTTTAGAAGTTTGTTTATACAATTATCTATATCAAAGGTGCTTATGGTAAAGAAGGAAAGTTGACAATTACCATCAATCGATTTGTTGCATGTGGTTTATCGAAAGCTTAAACGCGGGTTTATACCCAAACTTATTACTCTGGTTGCGTTTTTCCTAGATGAAATGTATTAAAATCTTTTTGGATGCTGCGGAAAAAAGGTCAATGCGGTTGACAAAAATTGGAGAGAAAAAAGGTCAATGCGGTTGACTAAAATTGGAGAGAAAAAATAAAACACCATAGCATTGGGGGAGGAGAGAGCAGTGCAAGTTTGCAACAAACCAATATATTGTTTTGAACAACTTAAAATGGTTTTATATGATGACTCAGAGTTGTTTCATTTTTCTCTTTGTTTTGTAGTACCCTGCAAAACGTTGACAGTAAAACTTCTATTGATGGACGCTTGCCTCCAAGACCTTGGAGGGATCTATAAATATAGTAGTACCTATAACTAGAACATTTTAAATAAAAATTTGAAATTTACATGAGACATTGGAGTGATCGATTGTATATTTGACTTGGTACCTTCTTTGCCCCTGATCCCGCCTTTGACTTTTCAGTTTTTTTTTCCTGCTGTTTCATACTTTCTAGTTTTTCTAACGAGGACGTTGTGATCTATTAGTGGGGGTTAATTATAACAATCCGGTTTTAGAAATATGGTGGTGCATGCATAGAGGTTTAAAAGAATTGATTTGGCCACCTATGTTACCAAAGTGCACTTATCTTTTCTGTCAAACGTCATGAGAAAACTCCACAGTTAAGCATGCTTGAGATGGAGGAATTGCAGGATGGGTGACCTTCCGGGAAGTGATTGTCGGAACTGTGTGAGTTAGGAAAAACACAAGAAAAGATTATGTGGTGATTTGTAGGGTCGGTAACCGAGTCTTTAAAACTTCCCGAACGTAGCGGACTGACCGTCGGATATGGATGGGCCACGGGTCGAGAAAGGACGTGGGACCCATTAAGTAAGGTGGCGGTCAGGGCGTTATAGTTAGTAAGAGTTTATCTTAATCAAAGAAGAAGCTGTGGTTTTTGCGGTTTCTAGGAAGTAAAGATTTCAGAATCGTGTCGAATATATTCGTAAGATGATGGAAGAGAGTTTGGGGGAGTTAGTGGAGATCGTGTAGAAGTGGAAAAATTAAAAAACCTAGTAAAAATAAGTAGTTTTAAAAATATATATTATATTTTGGGTGAGTGTACAAAAAATTTAAATTAAATTACCCAAGTTATAAAGAAAAGACACTGTGAAATAAACGTTTAACAAAAATTGATTTTTTTAAGTCGTTGCCGTTAGGCCTCGACCGGATCCGGATATCCGGCTTTTTTAGAGTATCTGGATCCAGCCGGATCCGCCTTTTCATTATCCGGATCCGTTTCACCCGGATATCAGGGTTTTTTTATATAATTTTTTATTAATATAAAATTTGAAGAAAAATATTTAAAAACAAATAATTTAATATAAATAATTAAAATATTATTAAAAAATATTATTTTATATAAAATAATAAAATTTATTAATAAAATTTAAATAATAGTAATAAAATATTAAAAATATTATTATAATATAAAATATCCCGGATCCAGATATCCGGCTTTAAATTTTCTATTATCCGGATCCGGCTGGATCTGCTTTTTCATTATCCGGATATGGATCTGCTCCACCCGGATATCCTATTTTTCAGAGCGGATCGGAGCGGATCCCGGATTGGATCCCGGATAATTGGTTTCAGGGCTAGTTGCCGTTATGTCTTATCCACTTTTTGACATAGTGTCTCTAAATTTTTTTTTAATAAGTTTTATAAAACAAATCCTACATGGTAGAATTTGATCGAGGAAGTGATTTGTGCTTTAAAATATAAATAATTTTTCTTTCCCACTATTTTTTATTAGATAAAAAATAAAGAAAAATCATTCATAAGTTATCAATTGATTTGGTTTAATTTAGTGAGAGAAAATGAAATTATTATTTGAGATTATGAAGTCAATATTTACATCCCTTTAGTTTTTCTGAATATGGAAAATAATATTTTAAAGGTTCTTTTAGATTTTTTTTATTCTAAATTTGAAGACGACCAGAATACTAATTTTATAAACTAAATTTCATATATCTTTATTTTAGATTTTTTTTTGTTTTACATTATTTTTAGTAGTGGACATCAGAAACTATTTTCATATGCCCTACACTTGGAATATCTTCTGGTTTAGTAGGTGTGAAATCATTTGTAAATCTGTTGTCAACTACTCCTGGATGCCCAATACCGAGACTATAACCTGGATTAGTAGGTGCGAAATCATTTGTAGATCTGTTGTTTACAACTCCTCGATGTCCAATACCGGGACTATGTCCTGGATTAGTAGGCGCAAAGTCATTTATAAATTTATTGTTTATAACTTTTGGATGCCCAATACCGGGACTATTTCTTGGATTAGTAGGTGCAAAATCATTTGTAAATCTGTTGTTTACAACTCCTCGATGTCCAATACCGGGACTATGTCCTGGATTAGTAGGCGCAAAATCATTTATAAATTTGTTGTTTATAACTTTTGGATGCCCAATACCTGGACTATTTCCTGGATTAGTAGGTTCGAAATCATTTGTAAATCTGTTGTTTACAACTCCTCGATGTCCAATACCGGGACTATGTCCTGGATTAGTAGGCGCAAAGTCATTTATATATTTGTTGTTTATAACTTTTGGATGCCCAATACCCGGACTATTTCCTGGATTAGTAGGTGCGAAATCATTTGTAAATCTGTTGTTTACAGCTCCTCGATGTCCAATACCGGGACTATGTCCTGGATTAGTAGGCGCAAAGTCATTTATAAATTTGTTGTTTATAACTTTTGGATGACCAATACCGGGACTATTTCCTGGATTGGTAGGTGCGAAATCATTTATAAATCTGATGTTTACAACTCCTCGATGTCCAATACCGGGACTATGTCCTGGATTAGTAGGCGCAAAGTCATTTATAAATTTGTTGTTTATAACTTTTGGATGCCCAATACCCAGACTATTTCCTGGATTAGTAGGTGCGAAATCATTTGTAAATCTGTTGTTTACAACTCCTCGATGTCCAATACCGGGACTATGTCCTGGATTAGTAGGCACAAAGTCATTTATAAATTTGTTGTTTATAACTTTTGGATGTCCAATACCCGGACTATGTCCTGGATTAGTAGGCGCGAAATCATTTGTAAATCTGTTGTAAACAACTCCTGGATGTCCAATACCAGAACTATCTCCTGGATTAGTAGTCGCAAAATCAGTTGCAAACTTGTTGTTTAGACTATTTATACCCTCAATTTTCTTTAATTTTGTTTCAATGAAAACTTTTTCAAGTACACCAAGTGTGTGCCCACGAAAAGTAGGATCCAAATTGTCATTGAAATGCTCATGCCCGTCCATCTTCTTCGACTTTCTTGCTTCGGTGGTGGCTGGTGCTTTGTCAAATACTCTTGAGATGGTCAAAATGGTCACCATGGTGATCAAGAATAGCTTCATGTTTCTTTTCTTTGAATTATGTTTTGAATATGAGGAGTATTGAAATGTTGAGTGAGGTTGTCTAAATGAAACTATATTTATAGTGTCTATACAATTGCCACACATTGATTACTTTTGGACAGTTTATATATCAATCTAAACCTATTAATGCATGGCTATATTACAAAGATGTTATATTAACATTACTCAAATAAGCACCTCCCATAGATAGATAGTATTACCAGACTCAGATTTGTTATCTATTCAATTATATGTAATAATAAAACTTTTTTAGTAAAATTACTAATTGAGAAAGATAATACTAATGGGTATATTAAATGAAAAATTTAGAGTGAGTTGAGTTTTATTGAGTTTTGAGATGATTTTGGTGAATTAAGAAAATTTGTTATTAAAAAGTTTTATAGTATCTTTTTTTTTTTTTTAATATATTATATATTTTACATAATTTGTTTCTTATTTATTTAATTTTTCTATTAATTATAAGTAATATAAATTTGAACTAAATAAATGTTTTAAATTTGTTTTAATATAACACCCTCCCATTATATATATATATATATATATATATATATATATATATATAGATTTTATCTTTAAAAAGTTGAATTATATTATTACTACTAACAAAAATTTTATAGTATTTTTATTATTATTTATGTCATATATTTTACATAATTTTTTTCTTATTTATTTAATTTTTCTTGGATGATGATGTGGACACTCTAGATAGAGAGACAACTCTCCCATTATATATATAGATTTCATCCTTACGCTAATGCACCCATATTACATGAAGCACGCGACTCATGCTTTGGCTAAGCCACATAACCTTCACTTCTGTGGTAGCATTTGAGAGATCAAACTTTGGTTTTCAAAAGTTCGACATCTTGTGATACTAATTGATCGAAAAAACAATCAAGACGATATAAAAAAGTTGAAAATGAAGAGTTGACTTATTTATTCCTCGAGTCTTGATAATAGAAGAGATAGAAAAATACAAAAGGGTAAATTTTACACAACAAAAACTTTCTTATTTAGGGAACATGAGCCTCTTTAGGAAACTTTCTCTTTACGTCTACTTTTAAATTCATTACAATTACACAACTATTTATTTATATAAATGAACTTCTTGCTAAATTCGTATGGTAGGGAGGATATTATTACATCAATAATATGAGTGATGTCTACCAAATCATTGGTCCTAAACCACTCTGTGATTGAAGGTTAATAACATTGATTGAAGCAGAAAAACAAACCTTTTCGTTTGTCATCACTTTTGGCCTTTGGAGTTTCCCCACATTCATCAAGCTTAGCCATCAAAGAGCTAGTTCCAGGAGAATCCGGTGGCAATAGTGTGTTCTTCGAAGCAAGAATCCGTTGAGGAATTGCGGATATCGGAGATCCAACCTTGGAGAGATAGTTAAGTAGTAACTCAATGATATGTGTGAAGTTTGGCCGAGCATTAGGATCCTCATTCCAACATGATGTTACAATGGTTCCCAACTCTTCGGGTAAGCTCTCCGCGCTTGGTCTCACATTCTGTATAAGAAACATGTCAAAAAACGAGGGTACTGCTTATCTTAAATCAAATTCAAAAGAAGCAAACGAAGACAGTGTTACACACTTTGAAGGCGGCTGCATATGCTGCTTGGAGATTAGACATTCCCTCAAAAGGCAATTTATTGTGTAAAAGCTCCCAGAGAACGATTGCAAAGCTATATGCATCGACTTTATGGTTGTAATGCTTCTTCTCTCCCAATCGAAGAGTAACCGTGCTGTACAACTGAAATATCCCACCAAGATTGTCTTTAAGTAGTCAAAGAGAACCACAAGAAATTAAAAGATCTGTCTATTGTAAAGAACCTCTGGTGCCATCCATCGGTATGTTCCTGTCTCAGCCGTCATCATCTCAGTCAGTGACTCTTCTCTTGCTAATCCAAAGTCTGCTAGTTTTACCGTTTTATGGTCTGCAGTTAAAAGCAAGTTCTCTGCAAAACAGACAAGATCCTTTAACACTATCTTCAACACTTAAGATTAAATCTAAATCATAACCAGAATATTAAAAGAACTTGAAGCGTGTGTGGTGTCAGACAATAAAAAAGAAAGATTCTGTGATTGAGATCTGAGCATGTGGTTTCCATGAAGCAAGGTGTTTTGCAAATATTTTAAGCAGATCATTAAATGATACATATCAGGTTTAAAGAATGGTAGTTTTACCGGGTTTGAGATCACGGTGAATGATCCCATGGGAATGCAAGCATTCCATACCACGAGCAATATCAAGCGCAAAACCGATAGCCACACGGGTCTCCAAACATGCGGGTCTCAAGTTTAACAGATATTTACGCAATGTACCGCCTTGAAGAAGTTCCGTAACTATCACCATTACAGGCTCCTTGCAAGCACCAATGAACTGTTTCAGAGACAAAAGACAATCAAGAACTGAAAAAACGTAAAGCAATGAAACAAAAACAGCCATGGATCTCAAAAAACAGAACCTTGACCAAATTCTTGTGTTGAACACGTGAGAGCATTTCTACTTCTCTTAGGAATCTTGAATCTCTTTTAGCAATCTCTTCTGGTGTTTCTCCTCTGTGAACTATCTTTATAGCAACTGTCTGATTCTTGTATCTGTCTCAGATCATACACACCAAAAACAGTAGGGATCCATTAAAAACCCCAACTTTTGATTACCCAATTTCCATAATCCAGATAGATGAGTTAACCAAACAAGCATTTTGTTCATACCCTTATACAACAACCACTAAACTTCACTTACCCACAAATCAAAATCCAAACTTTCCAAACAATCTCAAAGCTAAGAATGAATTTAAACCAAATCCAGAAAGTTAAAGAAGAAGAAGCTTACTTTCCCTCATAGACTTTGGCATGAGCTCCTTCACCAATCTTTGGCCCAACAAAGAGAAGCTGAGGATCAATTTGCCATTTGGGTTCCATTCTAAATCCACTCAAAGAATCCATTGCAAGAATTCACAACAAAACACCAAGATTACTTCAAACCTTGCAACCACATTTTTACCCGATCTTGAGATACAAAAAAGACTTGTCCTTTTTTTCGTTTTATCACTTTCTTGATTTGTATCTCTGAAGATTTGAGAGAGCTCACAAGGCAAAGAAGAGAAGAGATAAGTAAATAGCTAACATGCCCTTTGATGAGGCAAAAGCGAAGTATCCTCACATGTCCGTAAATTAAGCACAAGTCTTAAAGAGAGAAGAAGGCGACACCAGGCAAGCTCTCCCCCAACTAAAATATAAGTAATTTATATAAAATATAAAATAGAAATGGATAAGAGAAGAATCTTGACAAAACAAAGAGAGAAGAAACAGAACAAGAAGTGGATCAGTGGATCTGTGTGAGTTTTTGGGTTTTGTAAATAAGAAGCTTGAGGGATTCACTTGTTGAGTTTTGGTGGTTTGTTTAGTTTATCTTTGATGGTGGAAGTAGTAGAGACTTCTTCTTGATGTGGAGAGAGAGGGAAGAGAGTGACAGAGAGAGTTATGAGTATGGAGTGGTAATGATATGATAATGAAAAGATAAACCAGAAGAAGTTTATATGATTGATTGGTGAAACATATCACATGGTTCAAAATTCTTGCTTTTGTTTCTCAAAACATTCTTCTTAGTTTTAGATTTTTTTTTTTTTTTTTTTTTTTTTTTTTTTTTTTTTGGGAAACTTAGTTTTAGATTTAATTTGGGTAATATTCATATGCAAATATCGGCTATAAATAGGGAATTTTTATGCTTAATGATTATATTTATATGTAACATTCGGAACCAAATGTGATTATGTAACATGAACCAAGTAGGTCGCTTTGTGGTCGGTCAAAAGCAAAGAGATTCATTAGTACTATACAACAGAGCTACTTTCAGGATAGTTCAACAGTTACCATCTCTATTTACTCCAAAAGAAAGATATAAACAAAGCCCACACTTGGATAATCTTGAGTGGCAAGAGCTTTATCTTCACTTCTCTCTCTCTAGTCTTTAACATATCATTGTACGACGACTTGACATGTGATGGAGCATCTTGAAATTTTCAGGAGCTTCTTGAAGATGCCATTTACATTTTCACAATAATTCATACGTAGAGTGAGTTTTTTGAGGATTACAGAATTCTCTAGGAAGTACCTTACTAGCTTCATTTCTGCAGCATAACCCGAGATGCTGGTTTTGATCTCAACAGACTTTAGCGAAGATAGCAAACACTCGGGAACAAATGAAAAACTGATTTGATTCATTTCCTCTTAATGCATCTTCTTAAAGTCAAAAACTCAAAACCATATGCCTGAGTGAACAGAAAAAGAAGATGACAAGATGAAGAAATATTTCTGTATGGATGGACTAAAAGTGTTTTTCTGAATTATGTTTCCATGTTTTTTACTTTTTTTTTTTTTTGCCGTGAAACCATTTATATAAATTTAAAAATTTTGGAGTTTAAATCTAAATTTTTTTCATTTTTAATGAAATAATTACATTCTTAGAAGGAAAAAAAAAGGGAAAATTAGATTGAGTACCACATTTGGTCCAAAATTTAGGTCCAGTACCACTTTCGAAGCTCAGTTAGCATCTATACCACAATTGAGGTGTGTAATGACCATTTTGCCCTTTCTTTTGTTTGCTCAAATTTCGGGGACAAAATTCATAGATTGAGGACACAGAAAGAAGTTTACATACAGTTGTCCCCGAAGTTTGAGTTTCTCCATAATTTTATCTTATTTTTGCATGTTTGCTAGTTTTTGTCCCTCAATTTTAATTCATTGTTCTTGGATTTTAGTATATAAACTCTAATTGCGGTCTTTTCATTTTGTTTAATGTTTACATTTCGTTTGATGATTGTCCCCGAATAGATTTTTTGTCCCCCATATATTTGTCCCTAAATGTTACACTTTATCTGCCACATCAGCCGAGAGCAAAACCGTCTTTTTCATACCACAATACCATATGAATGTGATACAAATGCTAAATCATTCTCAATTGTGGCAGAGATGCTAAGGAATTTGAAAAATGTGGTAGATTTGGCAAAAATCCCAAAAAAAAATACAACATCTTCTTATCTGGCTGACATATTTGTTCTAAAATAATATCTCACCAGTCTAGTGAAAGTGTCGCAACGTAGTAACGTATTGTATATTTGTATGCATTGTGACGTCATCTAAATGGATCTGATATATTACAACAACCTTTTGAAAATTTTAATTAAAGGATTGTTTTTTTTGGTGAGTTTTTAATTAAGGATCTTTTGTAAGTATACTTTAGACATGTATTTGGTTTTCTTCCTTCTTTTATTTTAGAAAGCTAAAATTATCTAGTATTTTTGAAGTACATTTTTATCGGGTGGGTTAAATTATTATCCGATAAATTTGGTATCCGATCCGATAAGAAAATTTCTTCATAAATTTTACACCGGATAGTTCATATCTTTTTTGGATCAAGTCAAAACATATCCAAAATTATGAACCGGATATTCCATATTTAAAAATATAGATATTTAGAAGATTTGGTTAAGATTTAGAAATACAATTCTCCTATCATCTTTGTTTGAACTTTTTAACTGTTTTAAATCATCATGTAATACATAAAGTTTTAAAAATTCAAATTTTTTTCTACATATATTGAGATTCTAAAATTTTAAAACGGATATATATTACCCAATTGATGAAAAAGGAGTGTGTTTAACGTCCCATATCGGCTAAAATGTTTAGATATTGACTCAGAATCATATTATAAACAATGCCAAAATAAATCCAAATCCGAATGAACAAGAAGTTCAACTTAATAAGTATCCAAATTTAAAATTATATACACTTTCATTCGGTATTTTTAGTTTAACTGCGTAATTTTACCGGAAATGTTAAATTTTAAACTTTTAAAAAGTTTTAAATAATATAATTCTTATATTTAAAATCAATAAAAAGTTTATAATATTATGAACATTCGAACATATATAAAGAGTTACAATAACACGTAACGGGTTATATTGCTAGACGGAATTATATAACGGGACGAATTTTTAAAAAGTTTTAAATATTCTAATTCATATATTTAAAATGAGTAAAAATTTTATAATATTAAGAACATTTGAACATATATAAAGAGTTAAAATAACATGGGACAGTTATATTGCAGGACATGGTTATATTGCATGATGGAGTTATATGACGGGACGAGTTTGAATCAAAAAAAATTTAAACATCATTAACCCGCTGTTTCAATACGGGTTAAATCTTTATTTTTATTTTTTTAACACCACCAATTTAGACATATCGAATGATCCTGACTAAAGTAAATTGTATAAGCAAAAATTGTCTTGTGGTATACAATTACTTAATAACAATTTTAAACTATAAAATATAAATATCTTTTAAAATGATAAAATTTGCAAATTTTTATATATAATATATAACTATTAAATTTTAAAAATCACTAATTTTAAAAACAAATTATCCCGCAGTTTACTGCGGGTTAAAATCTAGTTTTATAGTAGAAGAAGAGAAGAAAACTGTAAAACTTTTGATTTATTTATAGTGAAATATGCAGTGGCAAAAAATTGAGATCATTTTAGGTTTTATTTCCTTTTAATCATTTTTAAGATCAAAATTTGAGTCCCGATTATGATATAAAATAAGTATTTTTTTGTATTAGAAAGATCAAATATTTTCATAAATAAAATATTTTGGTTTGTAACTATAGAAGTATTGAATAAACATTTAAAGCACATATATATATTAAAATTAAATTAGAATCAGTATAAATGAATACAAAAAGGGGAAAATCATTCACAAAAAGACATATTTTTGTTATATACAAAAGTGATATGAAAATACTCTCTAACAACAAACAAGCCTCACGAGACTAACCGCGAGGATTTGTCTCTCTAAACAAGCACATCGCCACATCCGCGGTGATTGTCTTCCCTCTCCGCGCTAAAACACGGCGACGTGTACCCGAAAAGGCCAGTAAGACGAGGATAGTTATCCACGCGACCATGGTGGCTCGTGCCGCCGCCACCAGTATAAGAAGAGACAAGGCTGCAGCGAGAAAGAAGGCGGTGAACAGAAGGAGTTGATAGAGCGGATTAGTGACAGATTTCGCGGTGGAGATTGTGTAGAAGGAAGAAACAAAGAAGAGGAGACATGAGAGAGTAACGGTGGTTGTTGCTCTACTTTTGCAAAGATCCATAGTTTTGTGAATGTGTAAGTCAAAAGTGGTTTGCCTAAATTTTGAAGTTAACAACAATGCTTAAATGGAATTTAATAGGAGATTTAATTTAATTGAGTGGTGTTTTCATTGGAATGCATGTGAAGGCACATGGGGGAGGTTGAGTTTTATGAGTTGTGTTATGAAATGATTCATGAAAGTGGTTTGAAGTAGGAGACACTTAAAGGCATTTGGTGTCTATTTTGTAGTATTAAAGAAATGAAAAAGATGGATGAAGACAATGAACAGACAGAAGCATGGGAATTGTGTAAGTAAGGATTCCACATCTCGGGGCAAAAACTGAGGAGCAATGTATGTTATGTTCGGTTGCTGAGTCAGTTTTTGGGATGTGTTGCTGAGGTAGCAACTCGAGGTTTATAGATTGGCTATACAATGGATCTAAGATTATGCTACAAACGAGCATCGCAAAACTCAATTTGATGACACAGTACTCTATTAAAAAGAAAAAAAAAACAAACCCAAACTAATGAAAGAAATAGTTTTCTATATCTTTTTGGATAATCATCAAAATATCCCGAACCAAATTAGCTATACTAGTTTCCAAGAGATGTGGAAAATTCATGAATCTTTCTTAGGGGTAGAGAAATGAGAATTTGTGACATGACTTGGGAACGTTATTTTACAAAAAAAAATCTTATCAAGAAAATGAAGAATAACATGACATCCATAATGTTATATACCATTTTAAATATTGATTATTATTCTATTGCTAAAAACACCTTCATTATTTTCAAACATAAAATTCTATTCAATATATTTATATTCTTACTTAATTTTCAAAAACACTATTATACGGTAATATAAGAATAACATGTTATTATTATCAGTGCATTATATCACTACAATAATAGAATGCTATACTACTTGTTAGGTATAATATTTTCAGTATAAATATAACATAAGATTCTATTTGCTATTATAAAATTCCATAAAATCACGTTAGTTAATTTCAAATTTGTGCCAACTTTTTGTATCTACCAACAATAATTGCCTACACAATTAATTGAGCCGACGGTTATTTCAATAATTTTTGTTTAGTACAGCTAGGGGTTGGCATTCATGTATGCGGGTTGGGTTCGGGTAAAACCCGATCGGGTACGGGTCTTTCGGGTAGAGGAGTTTAGGACCCAATAGGGTAAATCTAAAATATCGGTTCGGTTTCGGTTCGGGTCTAATCGGGTTCGGGTCGGTTCGGGTTTAGATTTTTAGAACCGCTAAATACCCGAAAAAATCGGGCATCCATCGGGTTCGGGTATTTTATACCCAAATACCCAAAATTTTACCAAATACCCAAATTTTACCCGAAATTTTACTCTAATATCCGAATTTTATCCGCAATTTTACTCAAATATCCGAGTTTCACCCAAAAATTTATCCGAATAACCGGAATTTTGTCCAAATATTTAAAAAATTTACAAGCATCTCGCGTATAAATATATTTAGTCTTAAATATATAAATATAAGTGCATTTAATTTTGGTAATTACTCTCGGATATTTGGATATAAATGTATTTAGCTCAAATATTACATATATATAAAGTTTTTATATGTATAAGTATAAGTAATTTCGGGTAATCGAGTACCCGTTCGGGTATCGGGTTCGGATCGGGTTTTACCCTATACCCACGGGTACGACAATACAAAACCCAATAGGGTAAATAGCTAATACCCGTACCCGCCCCGAACCGGTTTTTTCGGGTCGGTTTCGGTTCGGGTACTCGGGTACGGTTTTTTTGCCCAGGCCTAAGTACAGCAATTTACTCGTAATGTAGCTGATTTCACTTAGTTAACCGATTTGTAGCTGCTTTGGTTGGTCGCTCGTAGCTGAATAGATAGAGACACACACGTATAAGTCGGACATAATTACTTAGTATTTCAAATATTGGAAATTTATAGCTATGCAAACATTTAGTCTTTACCTACGTATGTATTATTCTTGTATTTTTGCTTCAATGATAGAATCTATTAAAGGTAATCTTATTGAAATTTTTTACAATTTACTGAAAAAAGTAGTGCTATGGTGTAAGATTTTGTTGAATGTGACAATCATTTGATTTCACTGAGGCTATTTGAACATCACAGTTTTCAGAAGTAGATAAAATTGGTGCTAATTGTGTAGCTAAGCACTAATTTTGGGGACATTGTTAGGAAATGTTCAATTCCCTCCCATGTTGGCAAGTGAATCACGATCACGTGCAAGCCACATGATTGGAGCAAGAGAAGGTTTTAATATTGACTAATGAGAAGAGATCTAAAACAGGTATAGTTTTATTAGTCAGAGAAGTGTCAAAGATGAATTTGCAACAGATTCTTTCTGGAACAAATCAAATATAACTTTGAATCGATTCCTGAATTTCTCCATTATACTTTTGCTAATTCTTTGCTCGAACTTTATTGTTTTTAGCCACCTGATCTTCAGATACACTTCGCATTTACTTGTTTTACAATCAACTCCTGCTTTCTTCACCTCATACCTTATATGAACCTACATTATCGTCATTATCGTTTAGCGAAAGTAAATTGTTTCAATATTGGACTGTCTATATAAAAGCTGAGGTAGAAGAAGAAGACTTACGCGAAAATGGTCTCCGAATGGAACATCGTGGAGAGCCACAATCTCATTTATGATCCAGCCTTCATCATTTGGAGCTGGAGATTTCTGTTGTGTGCAGGTAACTCCGCCTCCAAATACAGACACATAGTGATTGTATTTGTAAGAAAGGCGTCTTTCGTAGATGCCTGGTTTTTTAGATTCCCATGTTGTACTCGCGTAACTCAGACATCCGGATTTCTCCATGATCTTACGCTCCAATTCTCCTCCACCAAAGATCTTCATTACCAATTCTACCTGTAACAGAAAATCATTTGAAATCAAGTTCCGAAAACACCATCTTCAAACCGATCCTCACTAAAACCCAAGAGTTGCATAGCCTCTATTAAAATGGAAGTAGCATAAGGAGGAGTGAAAGATGATTTATACATCGCCAGGTAGATCACACGTGTACACTTTTGACATCATTAATGCATCCGTATCTGAAACAACTGCAACAGCTTCAGGCAAGAGGAAAGGATCTGCCACATCTTGGTCTTCTTCTGCTATTTGTGCTCTATGATCTACACTTAACGTCCTTGTTTTCCACAAAGCCATGATTGTCCTGCCATTTTCATGAATGATTCACATTCAATATAGATTGTTAGATACAACCAGTAAACTAATCGCTTTGGGTTTGGTCATTGATGAGCATGTAAACCAAATTCCTTCAAGTACCTGCTGGTCGCATCAAATGACACGAATGACTGAAAATAGAACCAAAGTCTTCCTTCATCATCCTGAGATTTAGCCCCATGCTTTGCATCAAGACCTCGGTTCTTTTTCAGAATAATGAGCAGTAAAGGGCTTCCTAATGAAGCAAAAGTTGGGGGAAGCACTTGGATGTCATCAATATCTTCCCAAAGAAAGTAAAACTTTGTCTTGTGTCCAAATACATTCGAGTAGAACGCCACAATTCTAGCAGACAGAAAAAGCTTGCCCTGTCAACATTAGCAAGCAGATTTCAGATTCTAATAACAGTTCTATACTATCACAATGCGGGTTTTCTGTATTCTCGCTTAACTACAATACACAAAGATCTATGAGTACAATCCACAAAGATCTATGAGTGAAGTCCACCACGCTGTCGAAGATATTTCTTTGGTAAAGAAGGGAAAACTAGTTCAAGAATCTGAGAAAGGAAAACAAAAAGCAAACCTGCACAGGCAGTTTTCTCTTCAAGTAACAAGTATATTCTTTGAGAAGAAATTCTTCATGGGGCAAACCAAACAGTTTCTGGAAAGCGGAGTTCTTCTGTGGTGACCGAATGTTCAACTGTCAGCACATACAATAAGGGAAAAGACATCAGGGTTACACATGAAAATAATAAAAGATTTTTCCAGCAACCACACTGAGTCTCAAATACTGGCCAGTTAATGATACATCATTACAGTAAATGCACATGCTTACCTTCTTGCCAACTTCCTTTTCCACCTTACTCAAGTAATCCTTCATTGTTTCAACCCCGTTCTTGTTTTCCAGAAAAATTCGCAGTTGTAACTTTGACTGGGAGGCTTGAGCATGATGACCAACTAGAGGAACACTCATGTCCGCAAGTTCATCGGCTGTATGTTTCAAGAAATTGATCTCTGCATGCCCAAGAGAAGCACCCTGGTCAAATGGACCATCAAAATCGAATACCTCTACATCTAATACCGATGGTGGTTCCTCCATTGCATCAAACTCGATTACCTCTGCAAGAACCACACCAATGTATTTTAGTGGCACTGTGGCGATATATTAGAATAATGACAGATAGAAAAATGAGACACAGTATATTTACTGACAATAAAGAGATAAATAAGAGAAAAGGTTTGATTACCATTCCACTGTGGATCCTGAGCTTGAAGTTTGACAGAGCTAGTTCTTGTTTTCCCATTGCAAGTGAAAACAACATAGGGATCAAAGAGCTCTGTTGCTTCCACTGAAGCCAAATTTGTTCCCTTAATTAAAGCTATTGTCAGAATCCATCCCTTACCATTTGCTTTGACTCCCTGATCTCTTCCTGAAATCAAGAAAATAACAAAACTAGACGTTAATTGGACTGCACAAGCAATACACTGTTAAAGGTGTTATTTAAATATAGACTCGCCTCGATGCAATCTAGCTTGTATGAAGTGCACAGTCATCATATAAACACGCTCCAAAAGAAGAACTAGTATTCCACTACTTAATAGCTCTCCGAAACTATCAGGCAAATCAAGGCCATAAAATTCAAACCCTTGGATTTTGCTGGGCTCACAGTGCAGCATATGAGCCACAACATATACAGACAAAAGAACAGCACAGAAGACAGAGGAACTCCAAAAGTATAGAAAAGCTGATTTCAAATCAGTCTTTTGTTCTGACTGCACTGTTGCTATAACCTGATCTTTGTCCAATACAGCAGCCGGATCAAGAGTTTTGTAAGTCTTAGTCAGGAGATTAGCAAATTGTTCAAAGCTCTCTCTCAGCCCTTGCCTAGCACCTCCTTCAATCATACCTTTCATTATAGTACTTTGATTAAACTGAATTCCCCATGATATGATCAGTCGAGAAGATTCCCCATCAGCAGTTGGCTCTGTTTCAGGTAGTATCTTGTAAAGCAACTCTATTTTAAAGGTATTTCCATATGGAACATCTGGTGTGCTTACACTAACAAAAACAGCAAACTGCTTCCCGCTCGCTTTCCGATAAACTTGATTCTCAGTAGCTTTTACAGCTTTGACCATCTTTGATGCAGCTCTCATGTATGTAACAACCCGTGTTAGACGAGGAGTATCTTCTTGCATCACTGTCCAAGGCCCTTCCTGTACATCCGATAGACCTTGAAGTTCGGCCAATTCTTTCCTAAATTGCGAACTAGGCGTGAAAAGATATTTGTTAAGATCACAAGGTGAAACTAAATATTTCTGATCAAGAAGAATTCCCCCTTGAAGATTCTCAGGCATTTCTTCTCTTTCGCTGTCACAAGACTGCATCAGGTCAAGACCTTCCTCAAAGCCAGTACAAGTAGCAGAGGAAGAACATTTGTCAGTAGCATCCTCATAATTTGAGTTAACGGTTTGATCTACCGATGAATCATCATGAAGCCTCTTAGAAATTTCCTCTTTCTTATGAAAAAGCTTGTCAATCTGGTTGACAAAATTCTTCATTATATGCTTCCCATCATGGTGTTTACGCCGCCTCCCATCTTTAGAAGATATCAAATCTTTCGGCGATCCTTGGAGTTCTTTCACACCCTCCAAGTTAATATCCTGCTTATCATTAAGAACCTTTTCACCAGAGGTACTTTCCCACTTCCCTTGCAAAGACAAACTCAGAAGAATTTTACCTGATAGACAATGGTAAAGTTCATATCCATAGATAAACCAAAACCTCCCTCCATACACACCTCTACAAGTCACTTAATCATAATCAACAAAGTAGGCACAAGTTACATTTCCTCTAATGCTAAACGTTTAAACTCTAATGGTTCCACAAGTGATTAGAGAATCAAATTCCAACAAAAACCAAAATCGATATCAACAAAGTTGACAGAGAAACTAACCACATTCGATGTTAACGAACTTGCCATCACTAAGCTTCTCAATAACAAACCAAGTCGGCAACAAAGTTTGATTCTCTTCAGCAGCAATGGAACAAAGCGGAATCCGAACTTTACCAATTAATCCGGTGGTGGAAACAATAGACTGATGATCTTGCTGCTGCTCATGGTGAAGAATCGATACAACAACATCGTCACCTTCGTCGACGTCACTGATTCGAAAAACGAATTCCTCATTCCAGATCGGTGACGAAGTGTCTCTCGCGACTCTCGTTTTGGACTTGTGTTTCCCAACGTGAAACTTCGCGAATGTCTCTTTGGCTGGTAAATCTTTGGCTTGTAATATGTAGACGTAGAGCCTCATCGATTTGAGAGAGAAGCGAGAGAGGTGATGATGATGATGAAGGAATCGAAGAAATGTGAATTTGAAAACTGAAGATTGAAGAAGAAGAAGAAGAAGATATTAAAACCCATAAAGGAAGAGAGAAGCAAAACGTGGGAGAGGAAGAGAGTGACACGGAAAGAGATGATTGGGATGATGGGTCGGTCGGTTTTCTCATTCGGCGATTTTTGTTGGTTCACTCTTTTTACTGGTTTTTCATTTTTTTTAATCAATTTTTTCTTTTTTTTTTTTACATCGTTAGATCGACAAAATTCATAGACAATCTCTACCATACAAAATAACGTAATTTATTAGAGTCAAACTGCAATAAAAAAAGAGTAATATCTATAGAAAATCTTTATTAAGCAAACGTGATTTACTAGAGGCGAACTCCGGTGAGAAAATAGACTCGAACTAGGACGAGGAAAATAAGGTCACGGCTTGACTAAAAATACATCTTCATGTTAATAATTTTTAATAATTTGTTGTTTTTGTTTGAATGGTGAGCAAAACCGTTTCAGCTTTAATGGATTTTGTGGAACACACGATTCTCAAAGCTAGTTTTGTGAAGTGAGAGAGAATCTTTGGGTAATTGGGAAATAAAAGAGTTATTAGAATTTGAGCTCTTTGTACTAGTATACCATCTTTTGATTGAATAATGTTTCTCTCTTTTGTTTTGAAATAAAAGAGTTATTAAAAACAATGTTTCTCTCTTTTGTTTTGTAAGTGTGTGTGAATTGTGAGAGAGGGCATCTTTGAATTGTTTATGTAAGATCTTTTTATTTCTCTTACTTTCTCCAAGATTTTGTGGATTTAATTATTGAATTGTGGGAATTGTTGTGATTTCTTTCTTTAACTAAAGTGGATGTGGTTGATAACAAAATTATTTTTGGTAGATTTATTTCGATTCAGTATTTATTTCGGTTCGATAAACGTAATCTACATTTTTGTTATGGTTTAAAGCTAAATAATAGAAAAATATAGTATACGTTTTAAAATAGAGCAAATAAAGAATATTAATTAGTTTTAAAAACTTCTTGAGGTATTTATTTGGGTTGGCTGATTTTTCAATCCTATACTAATTGCAATATCAACTTTTCAACCCAAACTTTTTGTCTCTGAAAAAACCACCATAAAAAACTTTAATCTCAATAAAACTACACGTACTTTCGGATTTGTTCTTAAAACTACGCCTCCAATTGAACCGATCAGTTAACCGGTAATATCTAATCCGGTTTGATTTACCCAGAATTTTGACCAAAGTTAATCAATTTTGACTCCATTTTAACCCAATTTTGACCCAAAAACAAATATAAAAGAAAACAAATGTCTTCTCTATAAATAAAATTATTATTTTTATTTATTTATTTTTAATAAACAATTAAAAATAATAAATTAATTTTACCAAAAAAATAATATACCACAAAATAATATGAAAGTATACCAAAAAATAATATGAAAGTATACCACAAAAAAATATATATAACAAATTTTTGGTCTATACTTTTGTTTATATAACAAAATATACAACAACAAAAAATATACCAAAATAGACCACAAATTATTTTTTGTGCTATATTTTGTTATAAAATTTTGGTAATATAACAAAATATACATTTTCTTTTTGGCAATCATTTTTCTTATAAATTCATTTTTCTTTTTAAAAATTAAAAGGTTGGTTATATATATATATATATATATATTATTGTGTTTTTAGAAAGAAAAATGACTTTTGAATTTATAAAGAAAAATGATTGCCAAAAATAAAATGTATATTTTGAATATCACCACAAATCAAAGTATATAATATCACCACAAATAAAATTCATTTAATCATTTATATATATATATATATATAATGAATTTGGTATAATATATATATAAAATTCAAGCGCATTTTTCTTTTTCAAACCACCATATATATATATATATATTATATAAATATATATATAACCGACCTTTGAATTTATAAAAAAAAAACTGAATCTATAAAGAAAAATGAATTTATAAATATCATAATATATACTTTGATTTGTGGTGTTTAAGGATATATATATATATATATATATATATATATATATACTTTGATTTGTGGTGTTTAAGGATATATATATATATATATATGAGTTTTGCATATACTTTGAATTTCATAATATACAAAATTCAAAGGTCATATATTATGATTGCCAAAAAAAATTATTATTTTAGTTTTTTGTAATATTACCAAAAGTATATACCAAAATTTTATTATATAATTCTTTTGTGGTTTATTTTTTTTTTATCTTTTTTTGATAAAATTAAGTTATAATTTATTATTTTAATTGTTTATAAAAATAAATAAATAAATAAATTTATTTATAGAGAAAACATTTTTTCTTTTATATTTGTTTTTGGGTCAAAATTGGGTTAAAATAGAGTCAAAATCGATTAATTTTGGTCAAAATTCTGGGTAAGTCAAACCGGATTAAATATTATCGGTTAATTGATCGGTTCAATTGGAGGCGTAGTTTTACGAACAAATCCGAAAGTACGTGTAGTTTTATTAAGATTAAATTTTTTTTGGTTGTTCTTTCAGAGGTAGTTTGGGGTGGAAAGCTGAGATTGCAACTAGTATAGGACTGAAAAATCAGCCAACCCTATTTATTTTTGTTACTTACATCAACTAATTGTATATAATAATAATATAGTGCCCCCATAATTAAATATTAATTTAAACCATAATTAATATTTCTTAGATAATGTTAAACAATTTTTGGAAATAAATTATTCGATTTAAATCAAGACTCTTCGATTCAATGTATACATTGCCCCCAAATTTAAGGATGTAACATAAATCTTATACGTATATGGTTTCTGATTTTTGATTCAATCCACAAACTTGAAATTTCAAGGCGGCTGGTGATTTTGTTTGACGTACGTAAGTCACATAACTATGTGTCACAGTCATTTGTCTTACACGTATTTTGGGCCACAAAATTTTACATTTGTTTTTAAAGTTGGCCGTATTGATAGAAAGTTTGCTTACATTGTGTATTAGAGCTTCTATAGTCGGTTTACTCTCATTGGGTTAATATCATTTGGTTAGTGAATTAATTACTGGTTTAGTGGCATTGTATTTAAATTCCATGAACAAAATCAAACCATAACCGCATACTGTTTTCTATAACCATACGGTTTTCAACTGTAATTTATGAAACGAGTAAAAATATATTAATTAAAACGTATAAAAATATACTAAATTATCTATACTATTAATTGGGAATCATCGTAGAATAAATAACCTCATTAAGGGTAAAGTATTACAATTGATGCCATTAGAAATTTTGAATTTAAAGAGTAAACAATAAAATTCTTTAAAGGGTAAAGTTGGTATTTTGACAGTGTACAAACTCGCGGATCTTAGACTTTCTGGGTTGGATTTTGGGCTAATGGGGGTGGATACACACGTGGATCATGTGGATCCTGGGGTCGATTTTTTCGGTTGGGAATTTAGGAATGTTGTTATTCGACATTTCCTAAAATTAGTACAAAAATTAATGCTTAAACCAAAAATGTTAGTATCAATTACTCTATAAAATAAATAAATAATTAATCAATTAAAACATAGATAATAAGGAAATGATAATCAAATATTTCACCCTAATTATTTGTACTTGCCATAACTACTTGACAAGTAAAAGATTAATTCGAATTTCAAATCAAATCTCATATATTAAGAACTTACTAAAACTACTAAATCAAAACAGTAAACAAAATCTTAAGCATAAAAAACAAATTGAATATTTCCTAAAAAATTATACCAATTACTAAAATTTCAAATCCTAGCAATAATGTTAACCACGTAATTCAAGGTTTGTATACTTGAAAATGTTAATTTCAATCATTTTTTATAAATTTGCTAATATATTTATATCACTAGTTGTATTTAAATCAATAATAAATAGCTCTAATTCTAAACTCATTTTTTCAAAGTCTTACTAACTTATTTCCTTATTTGTTCCTATCTATTTAATAGTAGTATAATCTACAACCTGATATCAAGGATTATCAAATCATCAACAAAGAAAATCTATATTTCCCAAACAAACGTTTGTATATAGACATTCTCTTAATATTATACACGGAATCTCAAGAGCATATTCCAATACTGAAACTAAATTTTACGTAACTAGCAAGATTGTATAAGATTTATTGTTTTAAAACCTATAAAATTATTTATGAATTCGCCGACTTCTTTTTAGTATAAATATTGTAGTGATCTATATCATTTCCAATTCACCGAAACCTCTTAAATCTCTTTTATTCCAAAATCGAAACATACACACAAAAGAGAAAAAATATTGAGTGACTACAAAGTGTCAAAGATAAAATGTAAACCAGAAAAACAACTTCTCTACTTTTTTTGTTTTGTTTATTATTCACAATGTAATTCTGGTATATGGTTTTTTTTTTTTTTTTTTTTGTATGAACATATGGTTCTTCTTATTCCAGGTTAGATGGAAACCTGAATGTTAAGAGAAGCGTGTGATGGTGTGTATCAAAAGTTGTTGGAACTTTGCATCCATTTTCGTTTGAACTTTCTTAAAAATCTTATGCTTTTGTTTTGTCTTTACTATTTTCCTGACATGATACATATTTATTGTGTTTAATTGAGGATATTGAAACAACTACATTGTCGTAGTTATATTAGAAAGTCATTCATGATACTCAAGTTATGTGAAGTTTCCTTGGTTTGTTTCACTTATACCCCTGAGTTATAGTAATGAACTTAAATTCTATATAAGAAAATTGACAATATTTGATTCTATGAAGTAAAATAAGGTTAAGGTATCATCTATATGTGGTAAAAGAAACTTACTAACCTTTGTTTCTAGACTTCCTTCACGGAAATTAATATCAAGCAGCATTCTTCCCTATCACAAGAAAACAATGGTGAGTCAAATCAAATTTCCTAAATGGAAAGAAAATTTTAACACCATGAACGTGAATCATCCATCATGAATATCAAAAAGAGTATGACAAGGGAAAATAAAGCATCATATTTTGACAAAAATGGCATGAGCTTGCATATATTTAATGGGTGTGTCTGATATCCCATTTTACGAGATGGTTTAGCTCCTGCAAACAAAGGTAAATGGATAATAACATAATTGTTACAGAGCCAAAAATGTTATGGATTGGATATGTTAAGAGGGTCTGGTTATATAGGTATCAAAAATTAGCCACAGGACAGTAACTGCAAACTTTATTTCGGCTAATCGAATCTGAAGGTAATGGCATATACAAATTCACATGAAACATGAACCAATCTTACAAATGAACTTTTTTCTACACTAGACGAATTCATACAGACTTGTGGTCAGTACTTAAGATCTTATTCAAGAGTGATGATTAATTGATGAAATCCTAATTAAACCCAATTGATAAAGATCTAAAATTTCTAAAGAACAGAACAAATTCAACACTGGATTTTAGGAACAAGGTATCATTGTAATGGAACATGCATTGAATTATCTTTGAAGGAGGAAATTTTAAACCTTATCCATGATTGAAGGAGCGAGCCATTTGTAACCAGCGAGACCCAAAGCAGTTAGAATCGCGAAGAAAAGACCAAGCTTGAACATAACCACACAGATCTATCCCGTCCACAAGAAGAAGAAGAAGACGGTGATAATGAATCTTCTTCCTCTTCATGATCTGCTTCTTGAGAAATACTTCGAAGTCCACACTCCACACTGAGTTTAATATAATGGCCTAATTTCTGAACTACATCATCTTCCACTCTAACTCGCAGTTCTGAAACCGCATTGTCTTCCTCGCGATAGGTGAGTAAGCAAATGATTTACTCTATTAATCGAAAGAACCCTAAGAATGAAAGAATTAAAAAAAAAAAATAAGATTTGTGTGTTTTGTGAAAGAGAACGAATTGCAGTACCAATTTTTTTTTTTTTGGTGTCTGTTGTAAATTGATCTTCTGCTTAGTACTGCATAAGAGAAGAAAAAACGTCTAGAAAGTCTTTATCTCTCAAACGAAAAGCCCAAAAAGTGAAGGTGAAGAGAATGTGAAGAAGAAGATGGAGAATACCATTGATTAAGCAAGAAGAAGAAAAAAAAAGTGTTCGATGAGAAGAAGAGGAGCTACAGGGAGAAGAAACGTGACGTTAGTCATTTAACAAAAAAAATGCTTTTGGGCCAATATGAAAAACAGGCCCAACATAAATATACATTAAAATTATAAAAAGAAAAAAAACTCATAAAACTATAGTATATTTCCAAAAGTATAAAATTACAGACTTAGGCTATATTTTTTACAATAAAATATATTTATAAATTTTTTAGTAATATTATAAAACACTAATAAAACATTTACCGGTCATGTAGTAAAGCGATAAACATATCAAATAACGGAATAAGTATTAAAAATAAATACCCGATACTCGATTCTTACCCACGGGCCAAGGGTAATAGAATTACAATATCTTTTACCCGACCCTAAGATCACGATTACCCTTTTTTCGAGACGAGTATGAGTTGGAAAATGGATTGAATATATGTAACAGGTATCCAGCCTTAAATGCTATATACATCAAAAAATTCAAATACAAACAAAATCCCGCACGTATGTGCGGATCCGGATCTAGTTTACTGTAACTAATAAGATCTGATTTTTGGCATCCTTTGATCCTGGAGGAACTTGTGCTGATAAGTGAGTTCGTCAAAGAGCTCTGGCGAGGGCGAGAGCGAGCCGGATTTTTAAAATTATTTTCGATTGAAAAAATTTATTATCGAATTGGCAATTACAAAGAGACTAGCGAAACTAGGGATACAAGCGTTTTCATTTTCTCTAAGGCGAAGACAATGTTGTTAAAGTTTTGAAAACTATATGATGATAAAACTGTATCGAAAAAGATGTAGGGGACGATGAAACATATTGATTACCACAATTATTTCATATTTTAAGCGTAAAATAATTTAATGAATTTCTCAACTAAAAAAATAATAATAAGAATTTAGTGAATTTATGGTGATTACACGTGGCAGCCACTAGAATAACGACGTGACACTCATATTGAAAGAGTGAGCCAGCTTTATATATATGATTATATATACTATATATATATATGTACTATATATATATATATAAATGTAAATGTATTTTTATATGTTTTAATAAAACTTGACCAAGCCATTAATCCATAATTAAACCAGTTCGATATGAAGATCTACAAGATATAGTCCGCTTTTATTTCTAAGTTGTGTTAAAAAGAAAAGTGTTATGTACTCTTTAAACATAATAAAACTTCATTCTTAATAAACTTATAAAATGTATAAATTTACTGTAAATAAGATATATTCATAAAATCAAATAGCATAAGATTTATCCGTTCATGGCGCATGTTTTTACCTAGCTGTATTTAAGTTTCAAAAGAAAATACCATATAAAGAAAAGAAAAAACGAATTTGCATTATATGCAAATTCTCCTTTGAGAAGAAGGTTCAAACTGAAAACATTAAAACAAGATAGAGACCTAAAAATTATACAATTATAAGATAAAAAAAATAGTAAAATACACGTGAATGCATTGGCAGATCATGGGCCATATGCTTAGGAATATAAAAATTGAGAAAAAATGAATAGTGGGCTTGGATTAGAGGGAAGTGATCTCGCTCGAGATCTGTTTTAAGCCTTGTTCCTGGTCTACGTGTCAGCCCGTGATTGGATCCGCTTTTTTGCAAAGGAGAAAACATTTTCATTTTTGTTTATTGTTATTTATATTTGTAATGTTTTTTTTCATAAATATTTAGTATTGTAATTTCACTTTTATTTTCTGTTTTTAAAGTTTGCAATTTATATGTTATTTTTAAATGTTTTAATAATTGTAATATGTTTTAAAATTTTTAGATTATTATATTATTAAATCTTAAGATCTTACACATGTTCTCCCACTAATCAACTTCTAAACAAAATATCTAAACACATGATCTTACATTATTTTAATATTATATTTTCTCTAAGAACAACCTGACATGATCTCCCATTGATGATGCCCTAACGATACAATCTTAGAAAATGCTTTTAGATTAGAGGTTAAAATTAAGAGAATGAAAATTTAGATTCATCTTCATTCTGTTTCTTCCTGAATCCTCTACTCCAAAACACTGAGGCCATTTGCGACACATCGATGCCACATCTTCTTTCATTGTCTCTGGTCCACATACCAACACTCCTATACTCGACCATCCTCTCAAGTTCTTCTCAAACTCCGACATTATCTCTGTGTTACAAAAATAAATACATAGAACTTTAATTTATAGACACTATAACTCAAGAAGATTGTAGTTTTAATTAACAAGTACCTTCGAGTTTTGGCCTTTCCCCGGTATGTATCTCAAGTTCCTCAATAAGAGGAATTGGTTTTAACTCGGTGAAGTTTCTTTCCCCTGGTTTAATTACTTCTTCTTTAGTCATTCTTGGTGCCTCTCTGTGTTTTCCTCTCCATGGAAGAATTGTTGCAGCCAAACCACCAATTGTGATAGCTATAACGTAAGAGACAATGATAATCAAATCTGGAACCCATGAAGGAACCTTTTCTTTAGCTGTCTTCATTGCTCCTGAAGCAGCTAACTTCATAACCCCTGAATGATTCTTGTGTTCAGAAGGTATAAAGATATGGCTTAGACCTATCAAGAAGCCGAGAAACGTAAGCACGGTTATAAGGACTAATGTGGCAAGCCATCTGAAATTTTCTGGCCCACGAATTGGGAATCTTGAATAGTCCTCGTCGGTTTTGAAGTGAATAGACTGAACTTGTGATTGAGCCAAGAACTCTTGCAATGTTGTTGTACCATTGGAAGGTTTTTTTTCTTGAGTGACAAAAACATTTAACTTGAGGTTTAAGTTGTGGATTGGGTTAAAGAGTATAGAGGATATTGGAAGCAACATGTTAAGATCTTGGAATGTCCTAACCGCAAACACAAGCTGCACTCTCTTGGGAGATTTGAGGCGGTTTTTGCACGCGAGTTCCTTCAAAATACTTAGAAATGGCGTAATCCCGATCCCTCCCGCCACAAGAAACAGATTATCATACCTGCCAAACATATCAATAATTTTAAGTTTTAAACAACTTATTGAAATTGAGCTGATGTAGAGAGTGTTTTAGCAACCTGAGAAAATCTACCGAGGAAGGTCCATAAGGACCTTCTACTCTTACGGTTATGTTGTTAATCTTCTTTTCAGAATTTGCCGCTTCTTCTACTTTGTTATAAACAGAATTTGTCCAATCCCCCTCACATTTTATCATAATAGACAATGTGTGTTTGTCTACACTAGAGCTCGATATAATACTAAAGGGATGCCATTGAAACCGTGAGACCAACGGAATGTTCAAGAATATAAAACTTGAGGGTGCATAGTTAAGCCCTGCAAAATACAAAAATAATTCACCAATTATTTAAGCAACTTTTTTGTTGTGTGTAAATTACTGGAGAAATTTACTTTCTTACTTGGGTCCTTTGGCAAAACAAGCTCAATGGCTTTACAAGAGAAGAGATTGGCGGAAAGAACGCAGCTTTCAGTTCGTGATTGAACAATCCGAAGTATCTTGTCTAGTCCAAACAGAAAGATGCCGGGGAGCACCCAGTAAAAGTGACGATCACCGACATGAAACAAGAAAGCTACAAGAAAAACTATATACAAATGGTGTGTGTAATAGAAAACTTCAAAGTTTTTCCTTCTAATTTGAGGAAGTGATGTGACCCACATCAGTAATCCTGTTACAAGGCTGATCAGTCCAGCTACATATACCCGACCCGTTCTCTGCCATTTCCAAATCTGTTTTTACCACAAGAAAGAGTTAGGACACTAGTTCAAGATTGTTATAAGAAACTGAGTTATTAAAATTTACCTCTTCTTCAATGTGATGAGTAATAGTCCATATGAACAGAGTGCTTCCACCATGAACCAAAGAAAAGAAAATCAAACCAGTCCCGAACCACACATGATATTTTACAGAAGCTGCAAACTCAATGTTAAGTAACCGGAACATCGAGAGTCCTCTCAAGACAGGGAAAAGAAGAAGAGCGAGACATGCTTCGGCTAATAGACCGAACCTTGTAGCAACTCTATAGTACTTAAGCTGCCATCTGAAAACATATAATAATAAGTCAACAATTAATATTTAACAACTATAAATAGAAAGACTGCTGAATTTGGAATTGGAAAGAGTTTTTACAAGTTAAGATTCAGGGTTTTGACAGGCATCAGCTTCTTGAAGTCGTTAGAGACGCGGGCATAGAAGTTCCAAGCAAGAAAGACGAGGAACAAAAGAAGAGCAAGTATCTCGAAACAAGACACAATTCCAATGAAGCTATTGATAATGGCTGGTCTTGAGACAGTAATAGCTGCACTCCTACCTCCTCTACAACTTGACAAAACACTACTTCAATGTTTTGATCATTACTTACTTTCAACTTTGACTTGGGACTGAAATTATTTTTACCTTGTTGGATGATGATGTTGTGGCAGTAAACTCAAGTAAATGAGTCCAACGATAGAGAGAGCAATAGGAGGGAATGAGAATACGGCAAAGTTGAGACCTTACAAGTCATAAATGCAAAAATTAGACTTATATTGAAGTACAATAAAAGAAATTTTTGTGGTTCGTTTGAGGGTTTACCGTAATAGCCGAAGAAAGTGTGTTTGGCGGTATCTTCAGCTTGACGCCAAGATTGTATCCATAGGGTCGTGGGTTTGATGATCCAGAGAGAAATCCAACCGATAAGTGAGAGATTCATGAGTAGTCGGAGAACAAGTAGTGTCAACACTTTGGCCATCTTTGTGTTCAATACTTAGATAGTTCCAATGTTTGAAAAGTGGTTTTAGTTTTGAACCTTTTGATTAGCTTCTTCCAATTTTTCTATATATGGACTCAAAATAAAGAAGACCAAATAAAAGGCCCCACCACCTTATCACAACTCTCTTTTTTACTATCAAGAGATGTAGAATTTAGTTTTACTGTGCTTTCAATTATTTGATGATTTATTTATTTATTCTTGAAAGTTGAAACCTTAGAGATTATGCCAAAATGTGACTTTGAGATTTTTTGTGCTTTACCAAAATGTGTAAGTTATTCGTAATTTCCTAAAAATGTCTTGATTGCTATGCACTTTCAAGCATTTGTTCCTTTTCAGTTTTCATCATGTATTTGTAATTTGTACTAAGAAATCATTTAAGTTTCCCTTAGTTTATTAATTTCTTAGTCATTTCAAACATTTTTTGTGTGTGTTTGTGGTTAAAAGTGAAACTATTATGTTAAAAAGACCCATCATTAGCTTGGTTTTCTTAAACTTTTCACTATTAACTTTTTTTTTTTGTTTCATTACGGTTCTTTATATATAAATCACGTTTTTAATTTTTATAGGTTAGGTTTGACGTTTTGTTGTCGTCCGTCTTTCCCTAGAATTGCTCCCTACCCTGTCTTCTCATGCATTCTTCATGGTCCAGGACACTTCATTTATGAGTAAAAATGTTTTATGTTTATTTTATTTTCACGTTGTCGTTGTATTGTTTTTGATTTGTTGCAAACCTTGTCACGATAAATTGGAAAATTTTCTTTGATTATTATTATCAAACTTATGATGTTTAGCTTCAAATTAATTTATATTTTCTTTTACTTGGTCCGGCCCTTATAGAAAGCGTACAACTTAGGCTTCCTTAGGACAAGTTTTACGTTATTTGTGTTTTATTTTGGAATGAGGGACTATAAAAGAGGGGTGGATCTAGTTGAAAACATTCCAATGTGGATAAAACACCTTATGGTTGTGAACTTTATAGCCAAAAACTTTGAAAAAGTGATAGTTGAAATGCGAAAGACGATGCTTAACCATTAGAAGAAAATAACTCATTTCTGACATATATATATGGCTGTCAGAAATCCACCACAAAACATTTGACCTTAATCATGGAAAATTGTTAGGTTTTTTGTTTTAGTGTGTAGCCAAAGTGGAACTTGTTGCACGACGAAACAGAACATATTTGTAGGACTCTTCATTTTATGGTTTTGTTAAACTTTGGAACTCAGTGTAGAGTTTTCAAATTGATTGCCTAGTCCACTAAGATAAAGAAATTTAGGTGAAAAAGCATGAATGACGTTGACAATATTATCACGGGTGTGTAAGGAAGTGGTAGTCGCGATCCTATTTCCTCACTTGAGGAAAGTTGGTCCCTTAACTGCGTAGTGGATTGATGGTCCATCCGTTCATCAATCTTACCATTTGTTACTGAATTAACTTATAGATTAGACAAAATATATATAATCGAGAAACAATAAAATTAATTATGAACAAAAAAAAAGAGAGTTCAAGTTCGTATCCTATGACTGCTATTTACGAATGTTAATGTAGTCGGGAGTAATATGACCAAATTGTCACACACGATTTTTTTTCTTTTCAATTTAGTTAAATTTGTATACATGCAAATGCAATTAGGCCTACCATGCTATGTATGTGAGTCTTACTTACATAGAGTAAAGTTTTTTTTTTTTTGTTCAACATAGAGAAATCTATTTGATTGATTTAATGTCATTTGGGGAGGGTCGGGTTATATATGTAGTTGGGTTCAGTTAACTTATTTGTTTTGGGCTGTGTTAAACTTTGGTTGGTTTTTTTTTTTGGAATTTGGGTCGGATCTTTAATTTTCTTTTAGCTGAATTTTAATATCCCTGTGTATCACCATAAGTCTATAAGACTATAAGTCATGTTTTAAAAAAAAATTGTTTTTTCATTTTAAGTGATATTTTCAAATTTTTATGCAATTTTTTTTTTTTACCCAATATATTTTAGAGTATATATTTTTATTGGTTGATATCATTTTACTCAATGGTGTTTTATGTAAAAGAGATAAATTAAATTAAAATTATGTATTTTATGAATTTGTGTATAAATTTTTTAAAAATCACTTCTTTTTTTTTGGTTCAAAATACTTGTTACAATTCATTCAAATAATTCCAAGTACAAAGAGGAGGATTTGAAGATACTCAAAGTTTAAAACATAACAAAGATGGACATTCCCCAATGCCTTAACAATATAGATAAAGTAGATCGACAAGGATTCCATGAGAGCTTTGAGACAAAGGCTATGAAGCGTTTTGGCACATGTGAGATCACGGTTAGTCGAAAGATCTTCCACGAACAATTCGATGGATGACAAGATGGTCACTGTCATGAGACAAGGTGACGTTGATGAAGAAAGCAAAGCCAAGGTTCTCGCCGACGCAAGAAGAGCTACACGGAGTAGTGCATCGGCTAGGCTTCGGGAGGCTACGGATTTGTAGTCGGGTAAAGCTTGCTTTGAGGCACAAAACAGGGGCTCATGATCTCTCTTATAACACTCGATATCTTCTTGGAAGAGAAGGATCCGAAACTTAGAAGAGATTGTAATTGGACGGTGTTTGAAATCTTTAGATAGGATTGTCAGATATTGAAACATAGTCACAGATCTTCCATGACTGTCTTCAAAACTCCAACAAATTGAGTTTGGGAACAAAAAACCATAAGACTTCAAACTCTTGGAATCATAAATCATAGCCATAGCTGAAGCAAAATCCAGGATTCTCAGGGAGTGATTGTTAATCCAAAGCAACGAAGGTGGAGAATGAAGTCTCAGATGGTTTCCTTGACCATTGAAAGTGTAATGTCGACACAAACATTGTCTAAAGATTGACAAAATAAATAGAACTAGATTTTAACCCGCGGTACACCGCGGGATGATTTAATTTTAAAGTTAGTATAAAAATATTTTGTAAATTGTATCTTCTTATAACATATTTATTTATATTATAGTTTACAATTGTTATTAAGTAACGGTATACCACGAGTCCACGAGATAATTATTAATAAACTGAGGATTTAACCCGTATTAAAGCGGTATATAAATATTGATTCAAATTCGTCCGCCATATAAATCATTTCCGAAATATAACCCGTTCCGTAATTTCTTAACCCGTCCTGTGATTTGTATTAAAAAAAATAAGGATTAAATCCGTATTGAAGCGGCGGATTAATGATATTTTAATCTTTTTATTATTGTTGATTCAAAAACCCATCCCGCCAAACCCATCCCGCCAAAAAACTCATTTATTTTATTAATGTTCTTATTTATGATATGATTCTGAATCATTGTCTAAATATTTTAATCGATGTAGAACGTTAAACACACATTTTCGTCAATTGGATAATATATGTCTGTTTTTAAAATTTCGAATCACAGTATATGCAGAAAAAAAATTGAATTTTTTTTTTTTACTTTATGTATTATATGATGATTCAAAACAGTTAAAAACAAATCAAACAAAAATGATAGGAGAATCATAATTATAAATCTTAATCAAATCTTCTAAAAATCTAAATTATTAAATATGGAATATCCGGTGTATGAGTTGGGTTAAATATAACCCAACCCAATAAATTTTTTTTGAAGGAATTTTTAAAATAGGTCGGATATCCGATATACCCGAAAGCTTTTTTACCCACCCGTCACAAAAAGTGCTGCGATTATACTAATATAGATAGCAGACCTGGGTTTAATTGAAGTGGGTTTGGGCTTCATAATTGATTTTGGGCCAAAACTGGGGACAAGGCCCACCAGACAAAACCCTAATCTCGCAACTGCAAACCAAGGGAGAAAGCAGATGCGGCGGCTTACCAAAAATGAAGGAGAGATCTGAGATGAATAAAGCATCTCCGGCGTTTGATGATTCGACAATAGCAGACTATGACTACGGTCCGAAACAGAGGCTGAGAGACAAAGCTTTTCTAGAAGGAAAAACCGTTGACCTGAAGAAGAAATCGATGTGCGCCGTCGACGTCTCCACCGGACATGGCGCATCTGATGGTCCAAGAGAGAGATTTTTGCCATCAACGAAGCCCAAGTGGAGGTTTCTTTAGGGGGGAAACCACCTCTGTCTTTTGTCGCTGGATAATGAGTAGCTGTCGGGGATCAAAGGGTTCAAGAGGGTTTGAAAAAGTTGAAAAAACTTAGAAAGATTGGGGAAAAAATTCGAAGAAGGGAAGACAAAAAGAAAGAAAACCAATCGAAAGAGAGCGAAGCTTAGGAAATCCCGACGCCGGCGAGCAAAAGCTACGCTGACGTCGGAGGAGATTAACGGGAGAGCTGAATCGATGGTCGTGCCTAGGAGAGAATTGTATACGCAATGACTAAGCGTCAAATGTGTGTCTTTTAATTTTTTTAAAAATCACTAATAATGCTACAAATGGAGTATCAAGTAACATGTTTTGTTGCGGTTGGACAGATCTTCGCAATGAAATTCACGGAGATGATGTTTGGAATATATTTTCTAGAAAAATACATATTAACTGATATCATCATGGGTTAGTTATTTTTTTGGTGTGGGTATATGATTGCTCGAGTAATTACCCGATACACTTAACCGCAAGATAATATATATAGGATCGATCCACAAGAACTAAAGATTTCTGACTCTTTATTAGCTAAAGCGAAAAGTTGTTTTGTTTGGGCTTTCAGAATTGTAAATAAAAATGCAATTAAAATAGGCGATTAAACTTATGAATAACTGATACTGGGCAATAGGATATTTCAAAAGACAATGAATAGCGGGGTAAACGAAACGAGGAATTCATAAATGAAGAACCATTCTTAACTATGAACACTCCTGGGATCGATCGATCTCGGAGCTCCTGGTGTCAAGCTCTGCACCTGCTTCAAACGCTCGCCAGACTGATCTGTCTTCACTAATTCGGGTATAAATATTGAATGCACCGTTAGATTGCCTTCAAACCATTTGGAACTCAAGCTAACATCTTCATCTAGCTTGTGTCAAAAAATTCAGAAAGATCTAACGGTAGAAAGTATTCCATCTAAGACCAAACGTCTGGCATCTCTAAACAAAACTGCATCTCTAAAAGTGTGTTTATAACCCAAAACAGTTTGTTTTCCTCCAAAGCAACCTAAAATCTGTAAAGACTCGATAAAAGACTAAAAGACTATAAAAACACAATTTGACTCTATAAAACATTAGAGGAAAGAAAACAAATACTCAAAACCGATAAAAATACAATATATCAGTATATATTGTTGTAATTATATAAAAGACAATATCTAGTGTAACTAATAAAAATTTATTTTCTTACAGTTGATAGTGGATAATATTAATTAATTATAATTTTTTTTTTCCCTCGAGGTAATTGATCTTCTCTTTATTGACAAAAGGAAAGAAAAGTAAAAATGAAAAAGTTAGTGACGTTGGCAATTTCATGATAGTAAGAAGTGTTTTGTCTTGTTAAGACACAAGATATTTCTATTAAACTAAATGTGAATCAACTAAATGTTTTTCTTTTCTTTTTTTCCTTTTGATAAATAGAAATATCTAAATGTATGTGTGAAAGCTATTGTTTGATTGAGATTTGGAGAAAAGTTGTTGCTAATGTGAGAAAAAATTCCTACAAGGAAAAGACAGCTACGATTAAAGGAGAAGAGTAAGCATTTTACTTTGGCTTACTTTAGTTCCATGTGAAAGTAAGAAAGAAAAAATAAAAAACTTCTGATTAACGTCTTAGACCATTCTTATTGATAGTTTTTTAAGAGAACTCTTATGTTAAGAGACATGTCTTATAATTGTCTCTTATTTAAGAGACTTTAAGACATTTATATTGTTGTTGGATTAAGACGTTTGAATGAAGAGATCGGGTTTGTAGAATATTTCAAAATCAGCTCGTGCAAACGAAGGTAGTATGATTGCTGATCGATTTGAGTAGAAGAGATTGGGTCTTTTGTAATCAGCAAACGTCATTGACCTGTTGCCCGTGTGGTGTCGATCGACACCGTTGACGAATTCTGCAATCCCTTGTTGCGTTCGAATTCCTTTATCTCTTGTCACTGGAAAAAAAAGGAAAAGAACGCGTGTGAGTAACAAAATAAAAGAAAAAGTTTAGACTAAATTCTACACCTAATCTAATGGTGAAGCAAAGAAAATTTCGGCAACGGCGCCAAATTTGATGTTTGTCAAATTAGACCTAAGACTACTCTCTCAAATAAGAGATCGTGTGTAACACTTTAGGGTCGAAATCCACAAAGCTCTCATGTTCACACAATAGACTAACATGTTTTGAATTAAGCTAAACAGAAAAGATTATAAATTAAATAAAAGAAAAGCAAGTAAATCGGTTGTGAAACAGATGGATGAAACGTCAGGCTTAGGAATTTCTCAGGAAATAAACTAATAGTAAATCTAGCAAATTAATTAGGATTATTATCGAACCGTTCTAGAACTCAAAGCACTAATGTATAGCCAACCTCCTCTCGGATGTATTGACTAACTAAACCTAATATCAGAAAGTTCCACCTCTCGAATGTAAACTCCTAGAATTAGACTAGCATTAATAACTTGGTGTTGTACAATACGTTAGCCATTAATCAGCATGCAGTCCTATCCAAATGTACAACAACCATGGATTTGAACTATGTTTGGTATCTATCGAGACGTCATCAGGACTCAGGAGACTGACGTTGATGTGCTTACACCATCTCCATTTTGGATAATTTATCATGATTGATATATTAGCTACAAGGTTATTTATATATTCGTTTTATATATGAACAATATTTGTTTTTTTTTCTTTTTGATAAATCCTATCGGCTATCCGGTCGGCCCCGGTAGGAACGCACCGAGGTGCTACATAGCGAACTGGTTCACCGTGTTAACGGTTAGGCCTTTACGGGCTACCACTATGCCTATCCCGAGTTTGGAATGCCTTCCGACTAAGTGCCAGGGGGTAGTCAGGCCGCCTGCATTTCTAGCTACCAGGTAAACTAATTGGGCCAAGACCCAACTGACAGACTTCCCAAACAAAAGTGTTTTTGTTTCCAAGGAGAATCGAACTCAGGTTTGGGAGTTTCACCCTTTCCCAAAGCTTCTTCTGCCACTAGACCACGGATGCTTGGACAATATTTGTTTTTTGGGCCATATGTGAGGTATATTTAAAAGTATCATTAATGTGGTTATATATTAAAATCTTACCAACTTGTAAAACTTAGATATAATTGAAGGCTATTATATTTGAAACCTAAAAATTTCGTTTTTAATAAACGGAAAAATGTCATTTAAATCGTCACTTTGCCATTTGTGGAGGTTTAAAGCATGAACTTTGAGCCTGGTGCTTTTAATCCTCAATTTCTAGTTGACTTTCAATTTAATCTCTAACTTTCGTTGACGATGCCGATTGAGGCACACCTTTAACTGGACAAACGGAGGATTAAGACGTTGTTATCTGTCCGTCTAATATATCCGTTAATAAGCTAAACGATGTCGTTTAATCAAATGAAAACCCCCAAATTTGATTAAGCTCGAGCCCTAGAATACCAAATCGAAATTAGAAATACAAAATCAAAGATTCTCTCTCGTTTTCTTCTCTAATCAAGACTTCAAGAAAGCTGTGTTGAGTTTTCGATGTAAAGATCCTTACATCTAACCCACACACACACTTTGAAGGCACTCCACGGGCAGCGAGTACTATCGATGTCTCGGAGCTAGAACTCATCGGAATCGAGACAACAAATCTTGAGGAATAAAGATGAGATCGAGATTTGAGAAGAAATCGAGATTAGAGAAGAAAACGAGAGAAAATATTCGATTTTGTATTTATAATTTCGATTTGGTATTCTAGGGTTCGAGCTTAATCGAATTTGGGAGTTTTCATTTGATTAAACGACGTCGTTTCGCTTATTAACGGATATATTAGACGGACAGATAACAGCGTCTTAATCCTCGGTTTGTCCAGTTAAAGACGTGCCTTAATCGGCTTCGTCAACGAAAGTTAGAGATTAAATTGAAAGTCAACTAGAAATTGAGGATTAAAAGCACCAGGCTCAAAGTTTATGCTTTAAACCTCCACAAATGGCAAAGTGACGATTTAAATGACATTTTTCCCTTTTAATAACCCTTATTGTTTGCTTACCATAAGACCACCATGATATTGTCGCCAAAATGTAGCAAAGAAAAAAAAAACAAAAACAAAACAAAATATCGTGTTGCTCTATCTAAAGTACTTCATAATCTTTTATAAGTATCTAGTAGAAATAATAGAGTGTATATTTTTGGACAATTAATAATATTGTGTAAGATAATGAATCCATCCATGCTTGTAAAAACATTAATAGAAACAACGATGACCAATAATTCATTTTTCTTCTTCTTCTTTTTGCCATTAGAAAAAAAAAACTATACTTTGAACTTTTATTTGAAAATAATATATTCTTTGTTTTCAGTGGGATAATATTATTCTAAAGAAAAGGAAATTTATGTATTGTATCTAGACGCTATGAAGAAATTCAAACACACTTCTTTTCACCAAATTGACTATTCTTTTCATGGTTGTGGATGAATCATATATATGAAAAGAGGTTATCTCTCTCCATATGGTCGCCACGTCAGCATTTTAGGCTCTTCTGGAAATGCCACATCAGCTTTCTTTCCATCCAATCAAAACATTTCATTAATATGAGTCATCTTTTATTTTTTACACATCAGCTTTTAATTATAAATGTCAAATGGGGAAAACACAATAGCCCATAAGGGATGGCCCATATGAATTTGAAAATCTATTTCACAAGTTAATAATATATTTATTATTTAATTATATATATTATTTAATTTTTTTTACATATTGATTTTTACTAATACTAACTTATTTTGTTATTTTATGTTATTTTTGCATGAAATTATTTTATTGGTTATATATACTCCAAAGTTTTTTTCCGCTAATTTTTGTAATCTTAACTCAAAATATGAGTGGATAATAGTATAGTGGATTAGCTAATGGTTTGAGTAAGTTTTTCTCTTATTTTTTTGATCTATATATGACATTGAGGGTGAAGAGTACGTAAGTTCATCAAATTTTGGAGGTTCTATAATCCCAACATTACCATCTATAAAATTGGTTTAGGAAAGATTGTTTACGGATTGTGTGAGTCATGTATTGTTGAGTATGTTGGTTGAAAATATATTTTAATACTAAGAGTAGTTGTTCTATGAGTAAATGATTAGCGGGTGATTAACTAGTAACAAGAACAATCAAAATAATTTGTTATTAACAACTTTTAAAACAAACCCACGCGTAGCGTGGGTATTCATCTAGTATATATATAAAAGTTGGTCAACTCTCTTCATATGAATATCACATCATCACATAAAAAATGACATGTGTTATTTTATATTAATAAATAGAAAATTAACAAAATTAAGTGAAGTAAAATCAAAAGTCCTCAATTGTATTAAATCCTCCACTAATACCACTTTTTATTGATTTCTTCAAAATAAAATAAAAAAGTAAAAAATCATGCTAATGTATCAATTACTATTTTTATTAT